ACAGCAACGCTCTTGGCTGGCAGCGCCCGTCATCGCGACAGCAACAGAGGTCAGGCAATTGTGACAGTGCCAGGTCCACATATCCGCTGCCGTCCACCCAGTGTCTCCTCTATTCATCTCGCGCACCAGCCTGTGGATTGCCTGACCGTTGCGCCCTCGTGCCGTCGTCCGAGCCTTCACGGCTACTGCCTGAGGCTGGCCTAGTTCCCGCACACCTTGCACTTGTGTTTCATCCAGGCGATCCGCTTGGCGTTGCACCTCACTCTCGACTTCTGGCTGTTCAATCGGGCACAGCCTCCTATACCAAGTCACCACCGCTCCTCCGCCGTCCGGCTGTCCACCTCGCACGCACGTCGACTCTGCGCCTGCTGCCGCATTGAGCGTCCTGCGCTACTCTCACCCTAGAGTTGGAGCTCCTTCCTCCCCCGCCCGTCGCTCCTTCTCCCGCAACCACAAACCGAACCACCGACCCACGCTACCGAGCTCGCCCGCGCCCTGCTCTCCCCATCCATGTCCACTGCCGCTGCGACTCCGAATACCTCCTCCAATGCTCTAAACCCCGCCGCCAATCCCGCCCGGCCACTGAAGATGAGCACTGCCGCCAAAGGCATCGACGCACAGCAGCGAAAGCCCGGAAGCCCCATCGACGGCGGTCAGAAGTAAGCGCCTGCCCTGCACTCCCCATAAACACGTCTCCTACACTCCTGCCCCGCGTTCCTTACATTGCAGACACATAGAGGCATGCCTCGAGTGCTCCCGCCATGCGGGATATTCTCGTGTGACGTGCGGCTGGTCACATGGAGTCACGGTGCGACTGCCCTGTCCACTCGATGGCCCTCTTCCCGTCTACTGTGCTCAATTACCTCATGTCCCAATGCTCTGTCCTCGACAACACCCTCCCCACTTGCACCTGGCGCCATGCTGACCGGGCGACTTGCAGGAAACCTCCCGCCAAAACGGCATGGACCCAGGGCACCAATCCCATCACCCAGCGACCGACTCACTCCCCCACCCCCAACGGTGCCGTAAGCTCACCTAAGCCCCCACAAGGCTCGACGGCTGCCTCCGCCGACAACGCTTCCCCAATGAGGCACCTCAGCGACCGTATGATGTACCTGCTGGCCAATCTGACGGTAAGTGACAGCTGGCTTTCTATGCGACGTGGGCGAACAGTGCTAATGACACAAACAGGGTCTTCCGGGCATTATTACGCTGAAGAATGGCGAAAAGTACTCTGGTGTCCTCTCAGGCACCTCACTCGACCCCAGCGAGCTGCGCTATGTTTTCAAGATGGTCAAGAAGCTCCTGCCCACCAGCAACGCTCAGACCAACGGCACGAGCCAGTTGTCCGACGACTACGTTGGCTCAGGCGATTACCACGTCATGTCATTTGACATGAGCGATGTGGCAGATTTCAATGTCAACAACGTTGTCCTTGACAAGTCCCAGCTCAAGAGCCAGAATGGTGTGTACTAAAATCTACATCGCCTTTATATGCCAGGCTAACAAAAAAAGGCACCGCAGGCTTCCGCACGGATACCGACATCTCTGGCAAGCTCGAACTCCGTGAGCGCAACCTTCAGAAGTGGGAACCATCCGAGGTCGATCCCAACATGACGCTCGAGTCTACCGGCCGTTCGAACGACTGGGACCAGTTCTCCGCCAACGAGCGCCTGTTCGGTGTGAAGAGCAACTACGACGAGAACATCTACACCACCACCATCAATAAGAATGACCCACAGTATGCGGAACGGCTTGCCCGTGCTGAGAAGATCGCCCGAGAGATTGAAGGTAGCAGCGCAACCAACTCGCACGTCCGTGAAGAGCGCGGAGGATACACTGCGGCCGACGACAATGGCGATGAAGAGGACAAGTACAGTGGAGTACGACGAGACCTGACAAACCTGTCAAGCGGACAGTCCAACCGGTACACCCCACCCGCACGACGTGCCCCCGCCCCTGAGGCGACGGTGCCCGGCGCGCCGGTGGACCCTGCCATTATCTCGTCTTCCGTCGCACGGCCTGCCTCGCAGTCGACACAACGTGTTGCAAGTCCCGCGGCACCAGCACCAGCAGCAGCTGCGCCTGAACCTAGCAAAACGCAAGAATCCAGCAAAGACGCACCCAAGCCTGCATCAAAACCAGTCGATGCGCACAAGGCTATTGCGGAACAGCTGCAGAAGCCAAGTAGTACGATCAAATCTGGGGTTGCTGCCATCCCTCCTAGGAAAGCTGGACGGCCACACGACGCAACTACCAACGTCGAGCACGATCTGCTTGACTCCTTCAAGCAGTTCTCGGCCGCTGAGAAACTACGGATTTCCGATCGCCAGAGGGCTTTCGCCCGCGAGAACAAGGCTGTGAAGCTCAACGATCTTAAGAAGTTCGCGCTCAACTTCAAACTGAGCACGCCGGTACCGTCAGATCTTGTGCCCATACTCGCTAAGGACGAGACAAAGCAGCAGGCTATCGTCGACAAGGCCAACAAACAAGCGCAGGAAATGAAGACTACACCTCCGAAGGCGGCCAACACCATGGCAGACCCCAAAGCTGCCGCAAGATCTGCTGTTAAGCCAGAGTCCACCCAAGCATCTCCTAGCGCCAACGCAGAACGCCAACAAAATCAACGTGCTCGACCAGGGCAACCAGCCTATGCGTCTGCTTCTATGCGGGGTTCCCACCAGAACATGAACCAGATTCCTCCTCGCAACCAAGGACTACTCAGCACTCGTCTGCAGATGAACCACCAGCAGCATAAGCAGCAAGGTGCCATGCCATACAACGGCGTTCCTCAACCGATACCAGCTCAGGATATGCGCATACCACCTACTGGTCCTTCACAGCCCTCGAGTGGTGCTCAGACGCCTTCTTCCAGCATGTCTACAAGGTTCAACGTTCGCGCCCATGAGTTCAAGCCCAACCCAGCTGCAAACACCTTCCAGCCTGGTGGAACCCCAAGCGCTACCTCCAGTCCTAGGCCAACCTCGTCTAGGCAAGAAGTCCGCAAGCCTCCTGTTACCAACTTCTTTACTGGCCCGAAGCCCACTGTTAAATCACTGGACGGACTGACGACCTTCAATGCCATCGGACGCCTTGAGAAAGAGGCGCAGTCGAACGCGAACTCGCATCACTCCGATATTGCACCTCCTTACAAGACCCCGCCTACGTGGGATTTCCCCTCTTCGAACACGAACAAGGGATATGAGCAGCTATTTGATCATGCTCCTCCAGCTGCGCCCTTATCAGTACCACAGCATGTCATGCCCAACGGCCCCATGCCTCATCAGCATCAGTTACCACCTCACCTCCAGGGCGCCCAAGGTATGTCACAAGGACCGACAGCTCAACACACCCCACGGGGACCTCCGATACAGCCGCATATCGGTCAGGACCAACATCATTTCGGAGCCCAACACATGCAATATTCGCACTCAACGTCATCAGTTCAGCCTTCACCACGCCCGATGGCGCCATACATGTATGGCGCACAGCCCCAGCCAATGCAAGGCTACCCTCCGCAAGTTCCGCAATACGGCATGAGTCCCGGCATGCAGCATGCCACCATGCGCAACCCACAAGGTGGTCAATTCATGAACGGCCCTGGGCCGGCGATGGGGGGCCAGATGATGACGAATCAGCCTTCAAATGGGCCCTTTATGGGAATGCCAGGTAATCCACAGATGCAGATGTACTCTCCCGCTCCCGCTCCTGCGTATCCTCAGTACCCGGCTCACATGCCTCCGGGCGCCAACGGATTCCCTAGCCCCAGGCCAGGTGCACCAATGATGAGCCATCAAGGATCGCAACAAGGCCACCACCAGCAGCAACCCCCTATGATGTACATGCAGCCTGGTGCACCAGCTCCTCAGATGTACCAAATGCAGCCAGGAGCCAGTAAGTACACGTTCATCGTTATTTATGCAATGGTCGACTAACATCACTCTAGTGGCTCCAATGCGAGGACCTTTCCAGCAACAATACCAAGGTGGTCACTACGGCTCACCACAACAACATCACCAGTTCCCCCAGCAACATCGTGGTACACCCAGCGGAAGTTACTCGCAGCCTATGATGCCGCAGCACTCATCGGGTCCCCAAGCTCCACCCACTGGCCCCGCTAATCATGCACCGGACGGCAACGCTGAGCCCAAATGAGAATCTTCAAACCAGGTTCACCGCAAACAAGCGGCGTCCGCAGCGTCTGCTGCCTGACCTTCATTACATGCTCTCTTTGCCTGTTTTACCAGATTTTGCTATGCGCTTAGCGTGGGTGGGTTGATTAGTCACCATGATAAGTGGCTTGAGGCATAGCGACAGGCGTTGACTGGGCATAATGGGTGCATAAAAGATCATGGTACGGACGACAACCTTGCAGGTCATGAGCATGCAATATGGGACAAGAGAGGGAGGGAATTGGGACGATCGCTACGCTACACGCGATCGCAACGCGCCAGGAAGGAGCAAGTCATGAGAATCGCTTTGGCGTTTTCCGTCCTCGAGGCAGCGTTCAGGGGTGGGGTGGAAAATTACTAGCAAGCAGAGCAGGCTCATGTGAGCATATGCTGCTGAACTACTATCAATACTATAAGTTCACAAACCTCGTTCATGTGCCTGCAATGACCCGCTACAAGAGTATGGTCGAGTCTGCGTCGCGACATTGTATCGTAAAGAGAACATAGCATACAGGATATTGTATGTTTGATCCTCGAGCTTCAGACACAACCTTGTGAGAACAGGCTCCTGTGTAGGCGACAAGCAGCACGAATTCTGACATCTCCTGGTGCCGCTGGTACCGCCTACTCTGCAGGTGACATGGATCACCAGGCACAGATCTGGCCCACCCACTAGCGTGTCTCGAGCATTCCGCACTCCCGCGGCCATTCCGACACTACCCCAGATAACCTCCGCCAGCGCCCCGTCCTGCCCTCTCTCCCGAACACGCTTCCTATGTATGTGTGTGCTGTATGCCGCGCTCAGATGAAGACGTAGAACTAGACAGCATGAACGACGCTGCAGCCGAGCCCTTGATCTCCACCGACCGCCGCGTTCCGAACGATGCACGCGACCGCTACGATGAAGCCGACGACGCGAGTATAAGAGAGGATGAGGTGGACGAGAGTGCCTTGGTATCCCCAGGCCTGTTTATTTGGTGTCTGACTATATGCGCTGGGGTCTCAGGGTTACTATTTGGATATGAGTACGTCGCATCTATGATCGCGATCTTTTGCGCCATGCCTCATGGCATGTATAGAAAATGGGAGTAACAACACTATACTAACGCTACAACAGCACCGGTGTTATATCCTCTACCCTCATATCCATAAACACCGATCTCTCCTCCCGTCCCCTGACCACCCTCGACAAGAGCTTGATTACGTCTTGCACTTCGTTCTTCGCACTCCTCGCCTCGCCCCTAACGGGTATCCTCGCTGATGCATACGGTCGCAAAACCGTGATTCTCGTCGCAGACATCCTGTTTATACTCGGTGCGCTGCTGCAGGCATGGACAAGCAGTGTGGGCGGCATGATCGTGGGTCGGTCCATTGTCGGCGCAGCAGTCGGAAGCGCGTCATTCGTTGTTCCGCTGTATATCTCGGAGCTTAGCCCTAGCCCTTTTCGGGGGCGTCTGGTGGTTGTGAGCAGTTTGTTTATTACTGGGGGGCAGGTTGTTGCTTATATTGTTGGGTGGTTGTTCTCGGAAAGATTGCATGGGTGGAGATGGATGGTGGGTTTGGGTGCTTTACCCGCTGCCATACAGTTCGTTATGCTGTTTTTCCTGCCGGAGACACCGCGATATCTTGTAAAGGCTGGAAGAACACAGCAGGCGAGGAAGGTGTTGGGCAGAGTGTATAAGAGCGAGGAAAGTGGGACGAAGTTGGTGAACGCCGTGCTGAGGCGGGTAGAGAAGGAGATTGAAGAGGAGGAGGATGCGGCTGGACTGCGAGGGACTCCCGACATGGCTAAGATCGGTTGGAGAGCTAAGAAGGAGAGGGTGCAAGACAGCTTCTCTCAACTTATCGTCATTGGAGGGAACCGTCGAGCCTTGATTATTGCCTGTATGCTCCAGGGCTTCCAGCAACTGTGCGGCTTTGTAAGTCTCCTCCCCCACATCCAAGCAACACATCCCCCCCTGGTACCCCTCGAACATATCAGAGTATTAAACTCCCGCTAACACCCCCCCACAGAACTCACTAATGTACTTCTCCGCCACAATATTCCGCCTCGTCGGTTTCGCCTCCCCAACCCTAACCTCGCTCTCCATCGCCATCACAAACTTCCTCTTCACACTCGTAGCCTTCCACTACATCGACCGCATCGGACGCCGCCGTATCCTCCTCTGGTCCGTCCCCATCATGATCATCGGTCTCGCACTCTGCGCCATCGCATTCCTCTTCATCGACCTCCCCACCGAGGAAGCTTCCGCTATTACAGCTACTTCCATTGCCGACGATAACACCAATAACAAGATCTGGCCCCTAGTCATCCTCTTCTCCATGATAACATACGTCGCTGGTTACGCGATAGGCATGGGTAACGTTCCCTGGCAGCAATCTGAACTCTTCCCCTTGTCTGTAAGGTCGCTGGGTTCTGCGGTGTCGACGGCTACGAATTGGGGGTCTAATACTTTTATTGGGATTACGTTTTTGCCCATGATGAATGTTTTTACTCCTGTGGGAACGTTTGCGTTGTATGCTGTTGTCTGCGTGGTTGCGGAGATTGTTATTTGGAGGATTTATCCTGAGACGGCGGGGTTGGGGTTGGAGGACGTGGGTGGGTTGTTGAAGGATGGGTTTGGGGTTGGGGATAGTGTTAAGAGGTTTGAAGAGAGAAGAAGGGGGAGGTGATTGAGGGGGAGGGTGAAGAATCGTACACTAGGATGCAGTCACCTCACAGTGTTACGTGTCTGTTCATGGAGTGTGATGTCAAGGACATTGATAGTTCGAGATATGACAGCTGTTGACGTGAAGCCCGACGCCGAGTTCCTGTGCATAAATGCCATCACCCTCCCCGACATCTTTCTTCTTCAAAATCGTACGCTCCCATTTATCCAGACAGCCATACTATACCACACCCCCAACTCCACAACAATGAAGCCTACATTCTTCCTCCTCACAACCCTCAGCGCTCTGGTAGCCGCTGCCCCAGTCCACGCCTCCAACTCCCCTCCTCCCCTTCCCACAGCCTTCTACCCTGACCCTGTCTCCGGCTCCGGCTCCGGCCAAATGGTCGACAACATGCTCCCCGACAACGACCTCCCCGGCGGCGGCATCGGTTCCACCTCCCCCCAAATACCCAACCTACCCGCCAAACGCGCCCTTGCCAACGCAGTGCCTGATAAATACGACTCGTCTACGTACTACGACGCAGCCGCCGAGAAAGAAGCAGAGGAGCTGGCTCTTGTGCTAGACGCTGCGAGTGAGAATGCCGCGGAAGATGAGAGTGCCGACACCCCCGTCAATGTCGATGTGAAGAGGGGAAATGGAATGCAAAGCAAAAGCGTGGAGGGCTGTAAGAAGAGGGCTGAGCCGGCAGGGTGTGTGAAGTGTCAGAAGGAGTGGGATATGTACGTTTGATGTCCTGCGAATGTCCTAGTTTCTGCATGGGGAGTGTGGGAACGGTGGTGAGATTGATGGCTAACGGGGTGATTTAGGCATGTAGCGTGTTTGTGCGAGAAGAAAGTTGGGTTTGATGCGTGCGTACAGAGCAAGATTAAGAACTACGTAAGTTCAAGGTTTCAGAGCGCACCGACATGGTCGAAGAGACTAACGTACTTGTAGGACGCCTGCGCAAAGAAGGAGTGCCCATAAGCTAGGTACGGCTCTGAGCAACTGGCGACCACTTCATGAGGAGAGTCAGCGGCCGTGAATTGGATCTGTCTCGCGGTTGTTATGCCTGTGTCAGTGGGCGTTGAGAGTTCATAGTGGAAATTTCCATTTCAGATTTTTTGTTCTATCCGCTATAGCACATTGTCCAGGCGTATCGTCGCTTTTGCGTTGTGCGAAACTTTCATGACCTTGGTGACCCGTTCCCGCATCCATATTAGAAGTTACCTCATTCGCCGTAAACGCCAAAGTATCATTAACTCATTACCCTTCCATCCCCTCGTGCCGAAACGCCAACGCTGATGCAAATGCCGGAATCCTTTTGTCCCTCGTCCTTCACACGCTAGGGTGGCGGGTATCATATCATGCCAATCGGTCGTGCGTAGAATGTGAATCTCCTAGTTGCCAACGGCCGTGTCGTTGAGCGCGACACAGACAGCACCACGGTGGTGTCCGTTGTACTGCCGGATGATGCTCTGGCTACCAAGCTCCCACAGCCTTGCGTAGTGGTCTGAGCAGCTGGTAACGAGGTAGGCGCTATCGGCTGAGAAGGCACAGTCCCAGACCCACCTCTGATGACCATGTAGCGTAGTCTCCAGAGGGAAGGCAGCTGGGTCGCGCTCGCTAGCTGCCGGCAGGTTGTCGGTGGGCGTGACGTTATGGGGAGCGGTGGGATCGACGGACCAGATGCGTGCCGTGTGGTCGGCGGAGCAGGTGGCTAGATGACGGACGTCGGGGGACAGGAGGACGCGGGTGATGTAGGTGGTATGGGCCACGAACTTGCAGATGGGGAGGATCGAGGTGGTATCGCTGCGCTGGATCATGCGCCAGACGTAGACGTTGCCCTAGCACGCGGTGTTAGCAAACGTTAGTACAACTTCATCTGGGGAGACTCACGGCGTTGTTGCCTGCGCAGACCATGCTCCCGTCGCTTGCAACCGTAACACTAGCCACGCTGACGTCGTCCTCTGGAATGAGCTGGTGAGAGCACTTGTTCTCTCCCAGGTCCCAGATCCTCACGTTACCACCGCGGTCGCAGCTGATGAGCTCTCCCTGGTTTGGATGAATGACGACATCGTTGACCGGAACACCATGAGTGTAGTTGCGCTGAACGTTGCCTGATCGCGTGTCCCAGATCTTGACCGTGCCATCTTCAGACGAGGTGACCAGCCACTTGGACTCGCAGTGGAACGCGACACCGGTGATGTTGGAGGTGTGACCGTCGAAGGTAAGGATCGCGTTCGGGTTTGTGGACTTGATGTCGTAGAGCTTAACCGTATGGTGACCGGCGGCGGCGAGGTATCGCTTGTCGGGCGAGATGCAAAGGCGGTTGACTTGGGAGTCGGGGTGCGGGATAGTCCGGGAGCATATACCGGAGAGCGCTTCCCAGAATCTAGTCGTCGGAGTCAGTACGGATGGCTGCCAATGGCGCATGAGACGCGTGCGAACCTAATGGTATGGTCGTAACCGGCTGCAATTGGATGTTAGTTGTTTGTCTGCCACAGGTGGGGTAGACAGCTCGACATACCTGTGCATAGAATGACCGACATCTTGATTACAGGGTCTCTCTCTATTGACGAATTAGGGATGAACTTTTGTGTATACCGGAAACCCGTAGTAGTACAATCAATGCGACGGTGTTAGTATGCGCGACAACTGCAGAACATGACGCGCGCGAAGTTGCGATCACGATTGGAGAGCTTTGCGCGTTGAGGGGAGTTGGAGTTGGTCTTGTTCGGGAGTGCTTGGGCCACTTCAGCCCTATGGCGGTCAGCCTATAGCGGCCTAGCGCTATGTAAGCTCCTCATAGTGAATGGTGAATTCAGATGTCGTGACTGTGCTTGTGCGAAGGTCACACTTGTTACGAGTATCAGGCACTTGATGTAGAAGTCATACTCTGGTGTCTCCGCAGACTTCAGAGTTGGGTGCTGTATCGTACAACACAAAACACAAGCTATAAAGCAAGTACAATATATCTAGGCTGTGGGGAACTGAGTATACACAACACTAGATGGTATTCCAAGTGCGTATCTCCATGAGACCCAGGTACGCGAAGACGCGTTGACTAGCCATAAGATTCCAAGACCTCAGCAGCCTACAGCTTACTAGCTGTGTGCATAAGCTGATAACTCTTCGGCCCACTCTCCAGCGCATCTTTCGTAATCTCTCCGACATTCTTAAACCCTCCAACGTTCATCAAGATATCCAGATCAGCTAGTAGACCGCGCATAACATGATCAACTCCCGTCTCGCCCATGATTGAAAGGCCCCAGATCCACAGACGGCCAACGAATACGAACTTCGCGCCCAGAGCGAGCGCTTTAAAGACGTCGGATGCGGAACGGACGCCAGAGTCGAACATGATGTAGATTTTGTCGCCGACAGCTGGAGACGTTGTTAGCTATACAGAAACAAGGGATAGGATGCACTGAACGTACCATCGACAATCTTCTCAAGAGAGTCAAGACTTGCGACCGCGCCATCGACTTGTCTTCCAGCGTGGTTGCTCACCACGATACCATCGAAGCCCAGGTCAACAGCTTTCTTCGCATCGTCCACACTCTGAATGCCTTTCAGAGAAAACGGCTTGCCACCACTGAGCTCCTTCCATAGTTTCATCGCCCACACAGCCTTCTCCCACGTATGCGCGCGTCCATGCCATACGTTATCGATCCAAAGCGCGCCAGCTTCGTTGGGCTGTGTCTTGGGGTCAATACCCTTTTCCTTGAGCCTCTTCTGGAAGACGGGGTCTGTTAGGCCCAGGTCTGCGCCAAGCCCGTGGTAGAAGGCGTAATTTGAGTTTGCCACATCGTCATGTCGCCATCCGAGCTGCCAAGTGTCAAGCGTCAAGATGCAGGCTGTGAAGCCGCTGTCCACAGCACGTTGGAGGAGTGACCGAGTAAGCTCGTCGTCGTGCGGCATGTAGAGCTGGAAGAATCTTACCCCCTTCTCGCCACCACCGGCAGCGGTGCCTGTGTCGCCTTGTCCTTTTCTCACGCCCTCATCGTTGGCATGGCCTACGTTCTCTATGCTCTGTGAGCCTGCTGTCGAGAGACAGTATGGTAGCCCTAAGGCGCCTGCGGCTCTTGCTACGGGTAGCTCGCCCTCTGGGTTGTAGATCTTGTTGATACCAACAGGCGCGAATCCGATCGGCGCAGGAACTTTGTGTTTAAAGATCTCGGTCGCAGTGTCGCGCTGGTTGGTGTCTACCAGCATACGCGGAATAATTCGATGTCGGTAGAACGCTTGTCTGTTTACGGTATGGGTGTGCGATTGGCCGGCATTTGAAGACGCGTAGAACCAGCCACCTTGACTGAGTTTCTCTTTTGCTAATTCTTCGAGTTTGCCCGGTTCTATATACAATGCATCAGCCTTGCGCGACATCAAATGTCCAGTTTCTGGTTCGCTCGATTTCTACTTGCGCGACAGCGCTATGAAGGTAAAGCATACTTACCTGTGTTGAACACTGGTACTTCGCCCTCATTGGATTTCCAAAAGTTCTTCCGCTGAAACAAGGCGTATTGCTGCGTGGTTCGGGCCTTTTGGTTGGGATTTACAGGGTCCATGATGCAAGCGGCCAGTCAGGTACAGCGTCGGAGCAATTGAGGAAGGAACTCGATAATGAATCTTGGAGGGAATGGTTGTTTTGCTGTGTCTTTGGGATCAAGAATAGGCGTAGACATTGCTTTTTAGCAATGTACCACCGGCACTCTCGGATCCACGCCATAATCGTGACGCTTGCACAGCTGTCGCAGATTATGACGAAAGGTGATGCTGCTCGGACTGGACCCTGATCTCAAGCTTATCTCCGGACTCGCGGACGGCAATGCGAACGGCAATTGCATGTAGCATGGCTTGAACACAGACCTTGCTATCGATTGACACACTCGACTGTGAGTCACCTTCCAAGATCGGAGTCTATACGTGTCCGTTGACGATGACTGTCAAGATGACACCCAGATTAGGTGCACGTCGAAAATCGACCTAAGAGCGGGAGAGTGGGGCATCTGAAAGCTTGTTTGCCAGCAATAAGTAGACGCATAAAGACAAGGTACTCGGCGCAGTCTGATGCAACACGCATTCTGCTATACCATAGAACGCGGCTGATAGAAGTGAGGTCATAAGGGCACTGCGTACGCTTCCAATTTAGGCACAGATCGAGGTCATTATAAGCACCATCTTGATAAAACCATGGTATCATGAACAAAGTGATAGCTAGGTAAAGTGGAAGGCGAAGGCCGAGCCCGCCAGGTATCATTTCGTAAATCTGCCCGCTTGCGGTCTATGAGGCTCGTTTCCATGACCCGTCGTTTGATTCTACAGGAAACCAACGTACCCATCGTCGCTTGCAAAACATCCATAAGAGAGACATTGCATATCATCATGCATCGAAACTGAGCCCTTCGAGCCAAACATCATTAATCGTGGCCAAGTCAAGTGAGGACAAGCTATTTCTCGCTCGTCTTGGTTGTGCCTGCCTCAGGCTTCTTGTCGGTCTGGGACTCGGGAGCGTCGGACTTCTCCGTCTGTACAGATGAGGGCGACTCAGTCACTTGGACCTTGCTCTCGTGCTGAGGGCCTGGCGTGCCTTCGCGATCCTCGCGAGACTTGGCGTTGGCGTCCTGGTTGTACTTGTTGACTTGCGAATCCAGATCCTTGTCTTCGTCCTCGTTATCGAACATCTCGCCGTCATTGTCTCCAGTCGAGACTTCGGTACCGTCGCCGAGAAGGATGATGCGACCGCCGTTGCCGTTGTTCGGCCGGAATCGACTGTCCAAGTCCATGTCGATGTCATCAGGAGAATCGTCAATGCGATGGTGAACGCCGGGACCGCGGAACTCGGCTACACAATTATATTAGAACTGAACTACTCGCTCTCTGAGGCGGACTTGGCTGGATCTTCTGACTTGCCGTACTCTGGCGGCGCACATGGACCCTCTCCATTCGCAACCCGCTTTGCGATGTCCTCGTACCACTGCTCCTTCGTCCTTCCTTGTAGGAGACCAATGACAGTCATGGTCATGTTGTCACAGCCAACACCTCCCGTGTCGCTGTTTGAAGCCAGACAGTTGTCCATCATGTTCTCGCAAATGGAGGCAAGATCCTGCTTTGCGACAATTCCGCGCCTAACGAACTCGACGACGGCTTGAGAAGACTGGCAATCCCAGATACCTGTATGGAGTCAGTAAGAGCGCGCGAGCATAGTAGATTGTAGTATCTTACCATCGCAGGCGACGATCAAGAACTCGTCATCTTGGTTGATATCATGTATCTCAACATCCGGGAAGGCAGTTACTATCTGCTGCTCGGGAGGAAGGTCGGCGCTCTTCTTGAACTCGAAGTCACCTATCGCGCGCGATAGAGCCAGGTTGCCGTTGACACGGCCAAAGTCGACGAAACCACCTGCGGCTTGGATACGTGCCTTCTCAGCTAATAGATGTCAGTGCTGCTTGCCTTTGCAATCTATGTTTCTTACCCTCATTCTGGGGCTTGTGGTCGAAAGAGAGCGGCTTAGCCCTTCCCTTGACGCCTAGGACAGTACGCGAGTCACCTGCGTTGGCCTGTTGATGTGAGAATTGGCCAAGAAATGTTGTAGGGGTCAACGTACGACGTAGATCTTGTCTTTGGAAAGGACGGCGACTGACGCAGTGCAGCCAGATACCTCCTCTTCGTACTTGGGATCTGTTCGCGTGAGTCAGCCACTTGTCGACTAAAGAAAGGTGCCCTGAAAAACATACCACTCAAGATGGCGCGGTCTGTGGCGAGGAAACCATCTTGTAGAGCCTTCTTGATGTCGCCCTCTTTGAAAGCCTCCTGCTTCGCGACAATCTGGTGCAGCTGCTCGCCAGCATACAAGGCCACCTTGTCACCACCGTGTCCGTCGTATACGCCGAAGAAGGCAAGTCGCTTGTCGTTGCCAGTGGGTTTGCCTGCTTCACCTGCAAAGTCTAGTACGGTGGCATGCGCGTCCTCCATGCTGATCCGCCAGCCCTGCATCGACGACACGCCGTAGATGAGTGACTCGCCATCGCCGTTTTCGGATTTCTGTGCAAGCAGCGTATTAGCGTCGTGTTAATGTGAAGGAGAACCTGCGCGGCCGTGCAGCTCAATGCAGGCGACTGCCGCCAAATAGAGCGAGGAGTAGCGCAGGTGCGGGGGCGGGGGGCCAGCATTGGGAGGCAATTACCTTGTCGACGACGGGTTCTGAGAGTGTCTGACCCATGTTGTCCGGTGCCTACAAGGACCTGTGGGAGGAGACGAGGGGAAGTCTGAGGTTGATCGCGAGTCTCCCTAGGGGCATAGAATTCCAAACTGCGCTGTTGGTGTGTGGGGGGATTTCAGATGTGGCTAGGCGCAGGGGCGACTGGGTAAGTGGCCGGGCGTGTGTGGTGGGCGTCGTGTAGGTCCTTAGGAAGAGGACAGGAGAAAAGAATTGCGTGCTCTAGCTCGCGGGGGTAAACAGGCCGGGTGGTGTTGTAGGCAAAGAGTGACGCTGCTCTACCTGTCAGGCTGGGCCCGTGCGGGCTAGTGGGTGTGGCTAGGTCGAGGCCAGAAGCGATGACGCCGCGCATTTTCTGCAGTCCCGTTTCCCCCACCAGCTCCTGTCGCTGTGGATTGCGGCCTCCTGACTGGAATACGCGCTCACCTTGCCAATGGCTGCCTTGTCGTGCAAGTTTCCGGGCGGTGCTCTGCTAAGGCGAGGCAGCCGGCGCCTAGATGCTTGCTTACTTGTGCAAGAGCTCGCGTGCCACGCACAAAGCCGTGAGCACCCCTATCAGCGCCTCAACAGCAGCCGCCGCCTGGCCTCGATGCACTGGAGCTGATCGTCCTTTCTGACTGGGGCATAGCTCCATCACTCGATGAAGAGGCCCTCTTCCTCAAGTTGTACCTGTCACCAGGGCTCGCATCAAGCACTTTAAATGTGTGCTGTCTATTCTACACACCTATGCTGAATCCCTAAAGATCGTGCATATAGCTAGGGTTTGGATGTAGTAGTACAGTTCGGAAAGACTGGCTTTGCTGTACATGAATTTGGTCCCGTGAACGCGATAGAAAGGGCAACACCTTGCTCAGCCGCGTTGCGGCGCGACAATTCCCAGGGTCCAGATTCCGTGTCGGGCTCTGAGGATGCACTACGACGGATTAGTACTACCCGACCGATTGGCACGCAACATGTTGCTTCCTCCTACAACACGCCCGAAACTCGCGATATACGTTCCAGCGTAGCGCGAGGCAGGAGCTATGAGCAGCCAAACCGCGGCCCTTTTCTAATGCGGCACCATGTTATGGCTGCGTATGAGCAGCTGCGTAGGTAACTAGGAACATATAATACCTGTGCAACGTGGTCCTGAAACTCCCCATATATTATCCATGATGGAAAAGCTATAACGAGGACTCTTGGCCTGGGCTGCCGAGGTCCTTTTGGTACAGTGCGGCAACACCAAACATCTGAAATACTCTCATGGCACTGACTCAGTGTTGCTTCTGCGAGATGAGCGTACCGCCGGAGTACCCCGGTACCCCGGAAACCCCAAATGTTCTTTAAATATGCACTAAAAGCCCCACGATGAGGGCGACAGCGCAAATGACAGAACTCCGTATCGCCAACTTCCTTCGCCATCTGTTCGGGGCATTGGCTTCGGCACTTTCATGAGATTATCTATCAGAAGCGCACGTATAAGCCGTCGCACGGTCCGATCGTGGTGTCATTGTCGAATATGGCTTAGCCCAAATTTGAACCTCGGCTGTCCGAGGTAGCGCAAGATCGCCATCCTACTTAATCATCATTCCAAACACACTCTCTTCCCATCATCTCCATCATCAATCTATTATCACAATGAAGCCAACACCGGACTGGGTCAAGCAGCTGAAGCCTTCGGGCATTCAAGGCCACGAATTGCTCAAGGCTGAACGCGAAAACTCCAATGTACCCGTCCAGGAGCTAGAAGTCCTCCTACACACGCAAGATGTCATCGACAGGAGGAACAAGATCCTTGACATTCTCAAGTCAGAGAAGGTCTTCGACAAGTCGCAGAACTACTTCATGGGAAGGATCGACAGATTCGAGAGGGCGCTTGCAAGGGAGAAGAGACTCAGAATCTTGAAGAAGCAACACAACTGGTCTTTTGACGAGTTCCGGACTGCTACAGAACTTGTTGGTGAACCCGGACCATACGGACTCCACGACTCTATGTTCAAGGTACGCGCCATGTTCTGTCTCCGCGCGACTTCTACTCACGAAGCAGGTTACACTTGAAGGTCAGGGTACGCCGGAGCAGCAGGAAAAGTGGCTCACCAAGGCCAACAACTACGAGATCATCGGATGTTATGCTCAGACTGAGCTTGGCCATGGTTCTAACGTTCGAGGACTTGAAACAACCGCCACCTGGAACAAGGAGGACAAGACCTTCACCATCCACTCCCCACATCTGACCGCCAGCAAATGGTGGATTGGATCCCTAGGTCGCACAGCTAACCATGCGGTCGTCATGGCTCAGCTCATCATTGATGGCAAATCATACGGGCCGTCTCCCTTCTGCGTCCAGATCCGTGATCTGAAGACACACGAGCCGCTCGACAACATTCACATCGGAGACATCGGTCCCAAGTTCGGTTACAACACCATGGACAACGGTTTCCTTCTGTTCAATCACGTCAAGATTCCCCACATCAGCATGCTGGCTCGTTACACATTCGTTGACCCCAACACGAACAAGTTCGGACGCCGTGGCGCGCCTTCCCTTGTCTATGGAACCCTTACATGGGTTCGATCAACTATCGTCATGCAAGCTGGTAGTGTGCTCGCTCGAGGTGTTACCATCGCAACCCGTTACTGTGCCGTGCGACGGCAATTCCAGGACCGAGATGCTCCCGCTGGCGAGGCTGAGACTGCTGTTCTGAACTACACTATGGTGCAGATTCGATTGCTTCCTCTTCTCGCCGCTACCTTTGCTTTGCATTTCACCGGAAAGTCGATGATGGACATGTACCAGGAGAACCAGAAGAGGATCGCCCAGGGCAACGCCACCAATGCACCAAGCAAGCGTGGAGCTGGGCCAGAGGAGGTGCAATCAGGCAGCGATATGTTGGCAGACCTGCACGCTTCTTCATGCGCATTGAAGTCGCTTAGCAGTTCGATTGCAGCAGAGGGTCTCGAGGTCTGCCGACGAGCGTGTGGTGGTCACGGCTACTCAAGCTTCAGCGGTATTGGGCCGTGGTATTCTGACTACCTGCCCACTACCACATGGGAGGGTGACAACTACATGTTGACCCAGCAAGTTGCGCGATACGTAAGTCTATTCATCTCATGTAACTGCAATCAGTCCTTACTGACCTGTGCTCTAGATGCTCAAGTCCGCCCGTTCCGTACTCAAGGGAGAAAAGCCGACGAACGACACAACTCAGATCCTTTCTCAATTCCATGCACGCCGCGACATTGGCTGCGCATTCGACGTTATTGGCGACGACGACGATCTCGTCAACGCCTTCGCTTGGCGCGTATCGTTCCTCACCTTCGAAGCCAGCAAGCACCGCGATGAGCAGAAGAAGCCCTGGAACGATCTGCTCGTCGACTTCTACCGCCTCAGCAAGGCCCACGCACAGTATATGGTCGTAAAGAACAACCTGTCTGCGCTCAGGAACATCGCAAAGGCAGGCAACGTCGACAAGAACATTGTCGACGTGCTGATGAAGCTGTTCCGTCTCTTCGCTCTACACACACTTGAGCAAGAGGGCTCCGAATTCTACGCTTCTGGCGCATGCAGCAAGCACCAGATTTCGCTCGCGAGGACCAACACTGTCATGAACCTGCTCAAGGAAATCCGGCCACACGCTGTCAGGCTTGTGGATGCCTGGGGCTTTGACGACTGGGTCTTGGACAGCAGTTTGGGCCGCGCAGACGGCAAGGTCTACGAGGATATGTTCTACAGGGCTAGCGAGCTCAACCCGCTTAACAATTACACCGTCGACCCATACCCGGATAGCGATATCTTGTTCAAGCGCATTGAGAAGAGCAAGTTGTAGGGGAAGGCATGTCTTTGTATATATGTAATTGTATTTGAATAGAGCAGCGATCTTGATGTTGGAGAATTTTGAGGTCGTGTACCCATCGAAATCTTGTTCCATTGTAGTGCATGTGCATGTACTGAGTAGGCCGAGAGGAAGCCAACGGGTAATTTGATCCGGGAAGTGGAGACACGGCATACGCTTACCCTCCATGGTGTACATAGCAACCGCATCTGCTATATACCACCCCCGAAACATACCTTTTCCTCTCCGTTCCGAACGTATTGTCACGTTCTCCTACTCCACAATCCCACTCCAGATAATTTTAGATATCTACGCTCAGCATGGCCCCTTCAGACCCCACCACAGGTGCTGGCGTCCTCCTCGCCTTTCTCAAACCCACCTCAGCTGGAGGTAACGAAGCACAACCGGACAACAAGTTCGCCCTCTTGTCCACGGCCATAACAGGAAATGTCCTCGGCATCAAATCAGCAACGCAATACAAAGCCGCAAATTCCGAATACGACAAAAAACATCTCTTCGTCTGCGAAACAGAAGACCTAGCACGTGTGAACGTAAAGCAGATGTTAAAGTTCCTTGAAAGCGAGAATGTGGGTGGAGAGTGGGATATCAGGACGTACTCTGAAGTCCAGATCTTTGGTCCGGCGAAGAGTGGTGGTATGTCTGCACGCCATATCTCAACTCAAGTATACATGGAGATAAGGGGTACCATACGCTGACCTCAACCCCGTAGAACCCGCACCAAAAATCATGATAGCACTCATGCAGCCCTCGCCCACCGGCGCCTCGGACCTAGATGCTTGGTACCGCGAAGAGCATAATCAGCAAACGTCTGAGCAACCAGGTTGGTTGCGCACATGTCGGTATTCGCTTGTCAGGCAAGAATCGGGTTCTGAAGATGAGGAAGGGAAGGAGCAAGAGTTGTCTTTCCTGGCTATTCATGAGTTCGGGGAGGGTGAGCAGTTGGGGGACACGGTCAAGGCTTTTGAGCCGGTTAGTGAGTGGACGATGAGGGTTATGAAGGATGCGGTGGGGATTGATGCGGCGATTTATCGGATGAGTTGAATGCATGGGAGGGGATGTTGGAAATGTGGTAGATTGAATTCGATCCTCTGGAGAAATGTTTGTCCCGGAACTTCTCAACCCATTGTTTGTAATATGATATACCGGGTACGTATTCGCCAGGTGTCCATACAGTCACATTTCCCCCGAACTCATACGTCCATGTCGTCTGCTGGCTGCCAGTTGCTCGGCATATCGTTGAAGACTGAAAGCCGTGTGCGCGTGAACATCTGACGTCGATGGCGCCGTGCTCTGATGCACACCGCCCCCCGAGTCCTAGTCTTAGTTCGTATCGAGCAGACTTGGTTTCAGTATAATCTGACATTCCGCAAGCAATGTCTCGACATCCCTGAGCTGGGCGGCAACATCTTCCCGGAGCGTTCGCGTCACATTTCCCCATCGCAAAGTCACCAGTTGAGCCTCATGTAGCCGCGGATAGTAACGCTTGATGAACCGGGAGTAGCCTTCGGCGTTCCATGGGGGGACACAAAGATAGAGACCTGGACGGAGAAGACCCATCTTCTCGATCCTGATAGCCGTGATGGATTCGCAGACTTCCGCCCCTAGATATTGAAGCGCTGTTGGGAGGTCATAATAACATTGGAGGTCAAAGGTACGGTGTTTGTAGATGAAGTCCCTTGCTTCGTTGCGTATCGTTTGGCAAGAGAATAGAAGGCTGAAGGCTCCTGGAAAGTGACGGCTGTGCACTGGAGGTTGCGAACGGCGCGAACGCGTGGGGTATATGAGTTTCCCGTCGAAGGCGTAGTCGTAAACTATGAGCCGGAGTTCCGTGGGTAGGTCAAGAAAACGGAAGGGCTGCTGGATGGTCTGGACGCTAGGGCGCTGTCAGTGGAAGTATGTAGCTCAGTGCGGCGAATAACTTACGTCTCTGTGCTTCTACTCCTGTCGGTGCCAGATCGATGCAGAAGGGTACCCTGGGAGATGGCGCTTTGCGTCGTCGGATCTGCCGGGCTGGAAGTCATCTTGAGTTGTCCTATTGAGGGGCTATGTCTAGGAGAAGTAGAGCCGTTTTGCTGACGGCTAGGGTTGCGATATCGTGATAGATTTGCGCTATTTTGCGCCCGGGCCCGTGACTCCCGACAGTGGACATTCACTGAGTGATGTATGTCCCCTATACGAAACGCAGGACGACGTCCATGTTACCGGTCCAACGTTGCATAGCGGCAAGAAGGTCGGCTTCGGCACTGTCGACATTACGAATCTTCATCCAGTGACGCTCGACTTTCGGCAGTTCAATATCTCGAATAGAAGACGCGCGATTGTCCATATAGCCGGAATCGATGAGTCTGCGGATATTATGCACCGTTGCTATGCCCAATTTGACTGATCGAACGAGCCCAAAGTTGGCGGGGCCCATGACCAAGGACACATTGGTTATGCAGTTGCGTGAACCACGGCTGTTATTGAACGAGGTGAAATCGAATCTGGCTAGGCCATACAACAGAGGCGATGCCTCGTGCCGGATCTGTCGGCACACCAAGAGCAGAGCGAACACGCCTAAATCATGTCGCCTGTATATCTGCTTGCGTTTCCGCGTAGCTTGCCGGATTTGACTTGCAAAGACACCGACAGTTTGTCCTGAAAATACATGCTTGTAGATTTTGTCGCGGAGCTCGGCGGGAAGACGAAGAAACCGGGATTCGCGTTGATTTGATTGCGTTCTGGGATATCGTTAGCTCAAATCAGTGAAGACCTTGGGTTCGTCCTTACTTGCGCTCGCGTAGCCGCTCGGCAATACTCTGCGACTGAGTGAGAATCATGATTAAGAAGGAGAGGACACCCAGATTTCAGTCCTGGCACGGGTTGCGTGAGTAGGTGAAGCTGCGCAAGGGCGGTGAGCGCTGTTCTCATTATCCAGGGTCCATCGCTCCGTTTGCTCGTGCAGAGGAGCTCACCTCTTACTGAATATAACCTCAAGATCATTACTTCCAAAATACAATCGCAGGGCTCTCACAGCCAAGTCAGGGCTCATACTGAGTAGCCCAAATATAGAAGTCTGCTGGATATGCACCCGCTGTAGGGAAGGCAACAGATGCCTATAATTAGTGGCAGAGGGGGCGCCCTGTTGGAGTCCTATCGCTAAGCGTTTTGCAAGCCTCGGCTCTACTTTGATTGCTCTGATTGCTTGACAGATATCTGGTCCCAGTTCGTAGGCGGCCGCCATGCAGTTGTAGTAGAGTGTCAGGTCAAAGGTTACCAGCTCGTTGAAGGTAGGTGTCGCTTCTTCTCTGATATGTCTACAAGTCATCAGAAGAGAGATGATCTGCTGGTGTCTTGGAATTCCGTTACGTTGAAGGAGATATGTGCCTCCAAGTAAATCAGTGGATTTTGGTTGTACATGGATAGTCTCGTTGGTAAAGGCATGCTCGTAAATCATGACTCGGATCTCGGCTGGCAAACGAAGAAATGGCGGTGTGTAAGGGGCATTCTGATCACTTTCCATCGTAAGCCTGATATCTATACAGCTTAGTACGGCTTACGTTGTCTCGATTTGACGATGGCTATGTGTAGCGAGGCTCAAGCGACCCAGACTTCCAGCTACATCGGCGTCCATGATGTACTGATCACAAAGAGAGAGAACGTTTCTTTGATGCCTTCCGATATAAAGTCGCGGTGACAAAGATTATTGTATGTGTGTGCTGAAAGATCAGATGGTCGAGAGAGATGGGCGGCACAGCCGGCGATAAGCTAGCGCAATTTGGTATCTCCGGCGGCGCGTCTTGAGATTTTTGGCGCGTCTAATTTTCGTCATCGCAGTCGCGCGTTGACTGCACAACCCTCGACTATTGCGCGCCTCTCGCTGTTAAACATGGGTAATGCAAAGCGCATGAGTGAGATGTTCGCATCGTCGGCCGAAAAAGACGCCAACACCACAACGGTGACTGCGAGCCCGCCGTACTCGAGCGAGGGACCTACCCTACCCATCATTGGGGCACCCGAGGACGCACCGACAGCTGGCAAGAAGCGAAAGGCGCAAGATAAGATTAATGGAACAGCGTCGAAGAAGCCATCGCAACCACTGTCTCCTCCCACGCTCCATCCCTCTCTCTACGAGCCATGGACACGGCTGCCTACCGAACTACGCAAGCTCCTCGAAACCCAGAAGCGCATGCGAGCCACACAGAACATCGTACCCGTCGTCTTCTCGAAGAACCAGAACATCAAATCCGGTATCAACAGGCTGAAGACATATTTGGGCGCGTACAAAGACCCGGCGTCTACGATTGAGATGCCGAATGCTTTGAAAGAGGACGATGCGATCATAGCCGTTTCTGCTCAGGGCGAGGGCACAACAAAGCTAGTAGGCATCGTTGATATGGTCCGGCGCATTGTAGCACCGAGTGGTGGAGAGGACGATAAGCATGGGAAGGAGGAGGCATGGTGGATGTACACAATGCTCACGAGCGTCGAGGTTGACCGAGAGATCAAAACCAGGCCGACGGACAAGGGTGACGCGGACGTTGAAAAGACACAGAGCACACAAAAGAAGGATGAACTGTCAAATGAGAACAACACGATGAAGAGGAGGAAAATACCCGTGCTAACGGTTTGGATGACCAAGAAGCGGATAGCCGCGTTCAGGAATGTCTTTGGAGAGCAGACATTCGCTGTGAAGCTGCTATCACAAGACTCTGACTGAGTGCCACGCGACGAATCAATCGAAATTTTAAGAAGCCGCTTGCGCTGCGGGTATGCCACCGTCCGATCTTTGGACGACCTCGATTCGCTCGATCCAATACAACCGATTTACGGCTCTGCCCGCCTTGCCCGCCTCGCCCTCTTTGAACCGACCGCATATAGCACATACCACAGCGGGCCCGCCAGCCGCCAACATGAAGGCAGCGTCCTCTGCATCTTCTATCTGAAATCGCCGACGGTTCTTCCCCGGCTCCATCTTATCGTACAAGTTGTCCATCGCAGCATGTAAACGAGGGAGTTCCAGGACTGCATCACTTCCAGAGTAGGTGTAGACCGTGTTACCCACCCATTTTCGTGGAACGGGCGTGCTCAGGGGATAATGGGCGCTCTTGAGGACGACACTGTATGGGTTATCTGCCGAATTCGCTGCCATGTTCGACGGAAAAAGATACTTGTCGGGAAAGAATTGCGCTGCCGACAAAGCAACTTATAGGCAACGACATACGTGTTAGCACACGCCTCATGACCTAGTCACGGCAGCTCAGCAAACTTTAAAATGGCAACTAATTGGCATCGGTTTATCAATACGATGTGTCTATCAATTTCCACTTTACGTTGGCCAAATCTTGGACCCGATGGCGACCGAGGTGTACACAGTGTCTACCGACCTCAGACCCAAAGCATTCGTCCTGATGACACTGGTTCGCCCCATGCCACCCTCCCCGTTCCCCTCTTCTACATCCCCTCCCTGGCAGGGTGAGCCACTCGGCGTGTGGGCACACGAGCTCCCATCGGCCAGTTTCCTCCGACTTCGGATGTTACAACTCCGAGACTCCATGCGTGCTGCCGGCGACGTCTCAGCTACAATAGCCACCATCACGCCGGGAACCTATAAGCTGGTGAATGGTGGGCCGGCTAGTAACGGTGAGCCGCTTTCCGATTTCGGTGTCCTGGCTGGGATGGAGATGAAGGATGGGGTACAGCACGAGAGGCTGTACTGGGTTGAGCTGGCGGAATATCACGCTGGTATGTGAGTCTACGGGCCACATGCATGTACCTCGTGAAGATGTCTCGTGATCTCCAATATACCCTAAGAATTCAATCCATCATCTAGAGCAAACATTATCTCAATCTCAATAAAAACACAAAGTACCCCAAGCCACCCCAACACACAACAGACATGCCCTCACGTATCATCCCACCAACCAACACCCCCCTCCCATATCCCCCACCACCGAAGCCTCCACGCCCGCGCATAAGCCACTATGTCCTGATGCGCACCACATGCTCCGCCTGGCCTCTCCAAATGGTTCCGCAGCATTCCTGGGTCGGCAACGCGATCCAAGTATTTGATTGCTGGAATAGAGCAAAAGACGCCTTGAATAGAGCAGAGGCCGACGCAGGTTTATGGGGTTGTACTACGCGTAGGGTGAGAGCGACGTACTCGGCGGACGGTGGGTATGAGGACTGGAGCTCAAATTCGACGGTTGGGCTGGTTGAGGCACGCAATGGGACGTGGGACTTGTGGTGGATTAGAGAGGTTGAGTTTGGAGGATGATGGACGGATACACGATTAGATGCACGGTATTTTAGGTTGGACACACTGGATAGTCGGAATAGGCATTAATTGCATTGCTTTTGTCTGAAAGCTGAGCATGGACGCTGTCTATGACTTATGGTTTTATCGGGAACCACTGACTGAACACTCCCTTTGGGTCGTATTTCTTCTTGAGTGTTTTCAGCTTGGGGAGACTGGATCCGTAGATAGCAGTGTTCGTCTCGTCGCCAAAGGCGAAGTTGGCATAGCTGCGCATCTTGTGAGCACTAGTTCGTTTCGATCGTGGCAGTAGACACTTACGTGGGATCATTCTTGGGATTATCGCTCCTGGTCCAAAGCGCCCTGACCTTGCTTCCAAATTCTAAGGCCTCGGTATCGAGGCCAGCATCATCATACCACGGTATGACAATAGCCTGCGAGAACGCATCCCTCCTGAGTGCTTCATTCATTGCTGCCGAGCCAACGGGTGCCGACATGGCCTTGGTCAAGTTGTAGCGTTCGATGAGGACGGCGGAGTTTGGACCTTTGGCCTGGAAGTCTTTGTAAAGTTCCCAGATTTCGGGCCATTTCTGTGCGTTCATGCCTGTGATGGTGGAGCTGTACGACGGCTTGCGACCACCGCGAGTGCAAAAGCCGATGTTGGCATCGTTCCAGTGATCGTACGTAGTGATAGCGCTGGACTCAGAAATGGGGCCAATGTCGTAAAAGGGGGCGAAGGCCTCGCGTCCTGTTTCGTTCGTGCCTTTACGAAGTAACCCAGTGACGAGGATAGAAGGCTCGTTGAGTGGTTCCCCACTAGACGTCAGTACAAGATACACTCGCTGTTGGGGCGTAAGAGGAAGATCTTCAACTGCTTGCGCAACCTGCTCAAGCTTGTCGGGTGAAAAGAAAAGGTTGTTGATGTATGCTGTGCGATCCTCTTTAGTAGCGGGCGTTGCCTTGACGGTTGCTGAAACGACGATTCCGAAATTGGGTCCTGCTCCCCGAAGTGCCCAGAACAGTTCCGGATGCGACGTGGCTGATGCGGTAAGTATTTCGCCTGATGCAATGACCACTCGCATGGAGATGATGTTGTCGACTCCGAATCCGACCTCGCCCATGAGATTGCCATAGCCGCCACCGAGCATTGCACCTAGAGCGCCAACGCAGTTACAGTTTCCGGTGATGATCAATGCACCTGCAGCATTTGCTGCTGCAATCGTGTCTCCGATGCTTGCACCGCCACCGATAGTGGCGGTCTTCTTGTCTGCAGCGACAACGACTTTGTTGAGATTGGCAAGGTCGATCAGGACACCCCATTTCCCCAACTTGAAAGTCTTTCCCCATCCGATGCCGCCATTTTGTGCAAGGAACGGTATCCCAGTTTTCGTACAGTATTTGACCTTTTCGTTGTATTAGCACCGACGATCCGTTGTACCGGCAATGTGGTTGCGGCTGAACCTACTATAGTTGCTACATCCTTTTCGGTTTTCACCCTGACGACCACCGATGGAAGGGGAGCATTGTAGTCACTCCAACGTGCTCGAACCTCGACGTTAACCGAAGATGGCGACGACACCAGAGTCTCCAGATCCTTGGCGACATCAGTCTGTCGTACAGCAAGTGCAGAGACCGCCGCGGCAAAAGAAACCAGTAATGATAAGACCCTCATGTTAACAGTACCAAGCGAATGGGCAACGGCCCAACGTGCTTTTTAATTGACATCAAACTTTCCCGGCTACCTGCATGGTGGCATAGAATGCCCGGACCACAAGTCGTCAGGGCGAGGGATTTGTCGTCCCGGTGGAAACTCTAGTCGACAAACGGGATGCAGCCAGCGTCCCTGCATGCTAAATCCGCGCTGGGTTAGGTATAGTCACCGAAGCGGTTATCTGCCGTACTCGTTCGCAATCGACCCGGTTACCGCGGGCGCAGCCGCATTCGGTTATATGTCCTCCGACGGCCCCGGACCCGTGCGTTACTCTAAAGCACACCAGCACAATGTCTCCACACATGACTTTCGCAAGAGTTCAGCGAGCCATGTTGAGAGCATGACGTGGGCCGTACTCCTTTAGGCGGTTCCATCCTTGCGCACGTGGGTGAGATTCCAGGTAGCATTGAACCACCATCGAAAGATTCGGAAGGTGACAGCGCTGCGGGAACAGGGTGTCTGCGAAGTGCTGTCGGTGGTATGCAAGATATATTTCGCCGGTGAACTTGGCACTCGGCAGTATTTTGCGAGAAGGATGCCAATCCAATCAAAAAAAGAATGCATATCCTACGCCAATAGCCTGGAGACCACCTTGAGCAACCAGTTCCGAGACATATACCGAGCGGGTTATTGTAGGATTCGCGGTTCAATATGCTAATACCGGCGCTTCCTGTTTGCACCGAGGTAGACGCCCTTTGTGGGAACACATTCATCCCAACGTCTGGTGAATCGTGATTTCCTTCGTGATACCGCGCTTGCCTAGCGTTGAGGCGTCTTCGGGAGGCGTAGAAGGAGCTTCAGACCGCGCCGTCAGCTCTGCATAGCATTAGTGGAGCGCTTTACGGGACGCCATGCATTACGTACCGATCTCGTCAATCTCCTGGTACGGCTTGCGTACCAGCTTGCCGCCAAACGTTGTACTTTTCGTGGTGCCGTTCAGCGCGGATGAGCCAAAGCCGTGACCTGATGATCCGTATCCGTAGCTCGAACCAGTTTGTGTTGCTTCGCGAGGGTAGAAGTAAAACCAAATGGGCCGGAGCGTGGGCAAACAGGCGCAAACAACACCCAAAGATAGTTCAATGTTGGTCCAAAAGAACACAGGTGCTGTGTAATAAATGACGTCGTCGGGATGCTTGAGGTATTCGCCGGCGATCGAGTAAGTCGCCACAACCCGTGTGATGCTGACAGCACATACCCTGTACGACTCAGTTGTCTTGAACACAATGACGTACGAGACGAGATAAGACTTACGCAGCTCCAAGTGAGAGCATTACGATTACAGCTAGCTTCTTCTTGGCCTCCATTCTGACGCTCAAAACCATCGGGATAGGGAGGATAAGGATGACAATGTCTGCGAAGACACCTGTGTACTGATAATATGGTCAGCCTGGAATCGAAATCATTATGCTGAGTGAGAAACAGTAGCTTACAAGTAGGGCCAAAAACATTGGCACGGTTTCGACACAGCTATTCCCATAGTATGGTTCAATAAATACCGTTATGGGGTAACAAGTGAACAGATGCGAGAATGTGAAGCTGACGGTCCAGCATACGACATACGCAAGAACGCAGTATACGACGATGCGAAACTTTCGTACGTCAAAGATGTTCTTGTATAACACCAAAATCGACGATTTGACAAGACCTAGGCCGATAATGGAGATCATGTTTAGAGCAAACTTTGTCTAGAGAAGTTAGCAAATGCACTGCTATCAGCAGCTGAGTGTACTTACCTGCTCAAAGAATATCAATCCGGGATCGTCCATGATGGGCTGGCCTTTTTCATCCAGTGGTTGATGAGACCCCAAGTAGCCGTGTATCGCAGCTATCAATCGGCGTAAGTTTGCAACCTGCATTCCAATCGAATCACTTACTAGCTAACTGTAAGGAGCAGCAAGCCATAGACACAGCCTATCAGCGCTCAGTTAGAGGATACAATACACACTGAACCGCTCAAAGTTCTCTTACCAAAGCAGCAACCGTGAGGAAATCGTCCCAACCCACGCGCTTGGCGATTCTTTTTGCCCATAAACGCAAACAAACGAAGACAAACGGCAGTACCATGAAAGCCACGGCCAGGGCGACCATCATACTTTTGGAGTAGTTGTGATACATTTTGACTGTCGCTCCAAAGTAATGTTGGTACAAAAGACTTGCAAATAGCCGGACCGCAACAAATACTTCGCATTGATGCAGACATGCGAAATATAGGCTGCACCAAGCAACATTGAGCCTCAGGTCCTCTCTTCTCATTTGGCCGACATATCGACAGCGTACCACATCCTAGGGAACCCATGGCTTGCTCGTCACATGTAACCTGCGACCCAACCATAACCATCCTTTGAGCTTGGCAGGTCTCCAGTAAACGCCCTGTAGGTATCACAGCACCGAGGGTGCCACGCTTGGGCTGTCCCGAGACTGACTAGGATGAAGTAAGGCTGAGAGATTGCAATCACACATCTCTTGACTGTGAAAATCACCCGAAAGTCCCCAGGACTCTGACATCCCAGTGCTATGAACATTTTCGCACTGGTCGGACCAACGTAGCTTTTGGCCTACAGGTCGGTGCGTCCCGATCCGTCAATTTGGGGTATGCAGTGCCTACAGCTTCAGCTGAGATTTGTGCTCCTGGTATGCCACCATGTTGAAGACAAACTCATACACGATGGATGCCCAGCTATCAACTCCAAGGCTGTTCGAAGTATCTAGCTATCCCAGTAGTAAACCGGTAAACCGGCAAACCTGTATTGTTGTTCTCTTGAAGCCGAGAGCCGTGGGGGTGTAGCTGGGGTGTTCCAGACAGGGGTTCGCCGCTCGGGTGAACCTTTCAGGACGGCAGAAGCCGCGCCGCGAAGCCACGGGATGTGCAATGACCCGCTATTATAAGACAGCCTCGGCCAGGACCCATGCGAACTAAAGCTGCGCTGATTTCTCATCTTTCGGTCGATGCGACGTTCTACATACGCCAGCAGTAAAGAGGTTGTAGGTCCTGGAGGCTTTTACGGCTTCGTCGCCTCAGGATAGGCATCTCGCTGCATCGCGTGCACGTATTTGCTTCTGCGGCTTCGAGTCGTCGATGTGGACGGAGGCTTACTTCCGATAGTCGTGCATGCGAGTCTTATCACGTAGGATCTGGTCCAAAATCACGTACACCGAGGTACGGCCGCTGTATAAACTCGCCTACAAGGATGAAATATTAAAAGGTACCGTCTTCGACAACATGCGTGAAGGTCCTAGTGCGGAACGGGACTGATACTGAGTTTGACGTCGGCAAGCTTTTCGAATGACCGGAACGATATCTCTGCCGTGTTTGGTCAACTTCTCGTGCGTCTGTCGTGGCCCATTGACGCGTTCTCAGAAGCCAGCTCAGCCAGTCCTAGGATGATCGCACGGCGTCTGCGTGCTCGACATGTTGTACCATCTCTCAAAAGGTACTTATTTTGGCGGCGTAGGAAGCGATGGTGACACCTGGTTGCTTCTTCGTGATCAGTGGTGTATGACGCGTACTGAGGAACGGTGGAAATGTATGCGTCACCCGGTTGGCCCCAGCATCGTCGCTGACAACGTGTTGCTCGCAGAACCGTGGGGTTCCTGAAACTGGCAGCGGTAGGCCATCCATTTGGGTGTCGAGGAGTTGCTGAGGCTTGCAGTGTTTTTTGGGAGTTCTGAGGCCATTTGGCCCAAACAGGGTGATTTAGCGCGTGCATTACGTCATTGTAATCAATCCACGATAATCAATTGATGCCACCCAACACAACTTCCATTTGCAGACGTTTCTCAGTGCACATGCGGATCGCTCTAAATTGTACACTATTCTCTTGTCCTGACGCTTAAGCCCACGAAAAGTGTTCCATGTGCAGATACACATCCCGTTTCCCATTCTTCATGCCACCGATCTGCGCACGAGCAACAGCGTTCGACACATCGCTCTGCATACTCAACGGGCCGCATACCAGTACAGACGTACTTTCACTTCCGTATTCTGCTGCTTCGGCGATGATGGCTGGAAGGTCCGGTCGTTGCGATACATGCCTCGGGGTGAGCGCAGTCTGGATGGTGGTTGATGCGGCTTCCTCTGAGCGACGTACATCTGTCGACAACGCTTTCGTCCCTGAGCCAACACTCTCATTCGAAATTTGGGACTTCTCTTCTAATTTACTCGGGCCTTCGATGGCACTATCATGCTCCTCCTCACCAGTGTAGTAGATGTCCACGCTCAATTCGTCACAGCGACATCCGCTCAGCTTGTTCGCTACTAGCTCCACGACGGCCTGCTCAAACCAATTCCTGGTCAGCGAATCTCTTGTCGCTAGTATCACTCTCATAGCAGCTTTCCTGTTGACATCTTCGTCGCCGTCGCGGTGCGGGTCTGCTGCGCTCACTGCAGCCTGATGCTCATCCTGCCGCAGGAACGCTTCAATTAGCGGCAAAAGCCAGCCAGCACCAGATCCACCAGCAATAGCCACGATACTTTGGCTTGCCGCAACTCTTCTCATGTCTATGCCACTATAAGGGCCATCGAGTAACACCTTTAGGCTTGACTTAGGATGTTGCTGAGCGTGCCTCGCCAAGCGTGCTGTAAAACCTCCCTGCGGTCGAATATAGAAGACAAGTTCGTTCGTACGACAGCGAGTTGCTCCGGGTAGAGAGCATGCTGTAAAAGGATGTGTTGTCATTCCGTCTACACCAAGGCCAAAGACTCTGATGAAATAATGTTGACCCGCTTTCCAAACACCGTTCATCGGAATCGCAATCTTGACAAAGTCGTTTGATACTTTGCTGATCTCAGCCGTTTTGATGCCGTACTGAAAGAACATGCGCATGTGGCTGTGAAGCCAACACAATGTATATATGACGCCTGTTGCGATGAAATAATCCCAGGACGACAGCCGAAAGTCGCAGTGGAGAAAGAAGAACAAGACGAACACCAGGGCCGCGATGAAATGAGTTGCTTTGAAGAACTCATAGCTGACGTTCCGAAGGTAGGAGTTGGAAGCGAGTGTCAGCCAGGCCTGGACGTTCATCAGCTTTATTCTAGGCATAACCTACATTCCACATGGGAGGAAGACGGGTTTGGTCACGAACCTGCGCAATGAGAGCGACGACACCGGTCCAATAGCATACGTCCGTATGCCACTCGCTCTCCATAGTGCCTTTCCATACATTGAACACAATGAAGGGGAATGTATGTATCAAAGCAAGCACAAAGCATGCATAGCTAATCCATCGATGGAACAACTGCAGCTTCTCATGCGATACGCCCGTCAACATTGTAATCATATTACTTTTCGTCGACGTCGCCATGATAAAGGGTAGGCAAGCGAGCGACATCCATCCTGCTCGTGTAGCGATCGGTGGTGAGCCTCCGAATGAGATCGGAGGGCTCTTCTGGTTGGGCCAATAGTACGGTCGCGGACCGAGTGTCATGCAGACGAAGAAGACTGTGCCTATCGCCCCAAGTATGAGAATACCGAGTGGTGCGGAGTTCCAGTTCAATGGCCGGATGCGATAGGAACGGTAGGCGAGGTAGCGAAAGATGGCAAGCAGTTGTCGCACAGCCTTGATCTTTGGGGGAGGTTTTCGTAAGAGCTTCGAGGTGAGAAAAGGGATGGCGAAGAGAATGATGGTTGCCATGAAGAATGCGAGTGTTGGAAGAGCATACCTGTGGTCGGCTTCGTACCAAAATCTCCAGTACCCTTGCTGCCACTTACAAAGAGTGTCGCTTTTGAGACTGCAGGTGTACTTTCGAGAGGAATGCAGCATAACGGGTTGCGTGAGCCATGGCGTACCATCACTGTGCATGGAATCCATCGACATCATGGTCCGAATTTCGCGTTGTTCGTTCGTAAGGTGGTAGCTTGTTCCAGTCTCAAGGTCGCCAGTCCGACAGTCGGTCAAGGGTAGCAGTGTTTATCACTTCAAGGACACCTAATTGCTTTCGTCACCTGCAACACTCGCGACCCACATGTTCATATGTTATATAGAAGTCAGAACGCGGCAGTGGGGCCTATGAGAGGTCGGGATAGTGCACTTCCGGGTGCTCAATCGCAGATACTTGCTCATATTGCGGTATGCTACAGCAAACTCATCACCTATGAACGTGTTTCCGGCAGCGGGAATAAGGGACGCAACTCGTGGCTGACTCCCGAGGCGCACCGACGTTGTTGTTGCCCGGTTAAAGGGAGGGTTGACACACGCTACTCGTATGACTGAGCAAGTTTGCGGTCGTTGTGATTGGCGAAATCGTCCAGCGCATATGAGGTGATGGGATGCTGGTAATTATGCCGCTCAGGATACGTGATGAGTTTTCAACTTCGCAAACGGTTCGTTATTTGTTTTAGTTAGACGCGCGACTCCTGTGCACCTTGAGAGTGGTGACACAAAGCTTCGCGTTAGATGTCTACATGCGGGCTGTGAATAGGAGTGGCACGAGGTACATCAAAGCCGCTACACCTCTTCAAGCTCTTGTAACGCTTTCCAACTTTTCCATGAATGCCGCTTCGATAGGAGCTAGTTGAGAGCGCGTCGCAGTCATGCTCGCCATAAGGTAGATGACATTACCCAATATGCGCGAATGAATCTGTACCTGTGATTCAGAAACATCGTGGAGTAAAGCATCGCGAAGGCCGACCGCTGCAGAAGAAGTGTAGCCTAGGTCACGTTAATGAAGAAGCTTGGAGGAGAAAAGATCGACATACCAGAGCCGCCTTCATCAATGAGCGATATGGCCAGCACTGAGCCCAGCGCGTTCACATACTCAACCCTCTCATGATTTGAGACGTTCCCCACGAAGGAATCGGACCACACACTCCACACACGGTTGCCGCTATCATGGCTTACCATCTTATCCTTGTTCTCGGCCAAGTTCCGCTCATGGCCCAAGTTCAATTTCTCCATGATGTCTAGACTTGTGTTTGCAACGTGGCATCCGACTGCATGAGCGGTATAACTATGTCCATGCAGGAGAGCTTCCGATTTCTCGTCGCCCAAGAAAGCTTCGAAAATGGATTGGCTTGCGCTGGTGATCGAAAGCGGAAGTAGACCTCCCGTAAGTAGCTTCGCATTTACACTGACATCAGGATGGACGTCAAGGAATGAGGCGGCAGAGAAGCGACCCAGACGGTACAAACCGGTGAACACCTCGTCAAACATGACGGGAAGACCAGACCAAGCATTCTCGTCCTTCGGGGTTTCCGTAACCCTGGAGCCGTTTGCAAAGTCGTAATGACGGACGACGCGCACTAGGCTTTGCTGGAAAAGCGGGTCCACAAACAGCATACCTCCGGCTCCGAGGACGACAGGCTCTAGTACCAAGGCACCGAACTTCTTGCCTTGCTTCTTGACCAGCTCGTCTAGTGTTCTCTCTATGTAGGCCTCGTACTGCGCCGATCTACCTCTGGTAGCGAAATCGAATATGCCGTCTTGACTCTCAAAGTTCTGAGCTGGACCCAATTCTTCTTCCATGCCCTTGGGCGGTTCAACCACCCATTGGCCATTCTTGAGCTTGAAGGTCGGGTAGTCAAACCAGAAGCCGCGACCGCGATACCAGTCGACTTTCTCATTGAAGACACAAGGTTCAGAGGCATCCATGGCTCCGATCGTGTCTCCGTGGTAGCTGCCTTTGAGTCCAAGGACGCCAACGGCCTCTTTCGCGCTATCCCAGCCATAACGCTTGCTGGAAGCCCGCAGCGCCATCTTGATACCAACCTCTGTCGCTGTACTTCCATTGTCTGTGTAAAACACTTTCCTCAAACGGGTCCCGCGTGGCAAGCCCGAAAGTATCTTTTCCGCTAGAGTGAGAGCTGGTTCGTGTGTGGCGCCGGCGAACATGACATGACCATAGCGTCCTGCTGCATATGCTGCTTCCAGTGCCAATCGCGGATTACCGTGTCCAAGACCTTGCGTCCACCAGGATGCGGAGCCGTCAAATGCTGGGTACAAGGTCTGGTTCTCAGGATGGGGCACCTCTTCATTGCCCTCGTGCTTGACCTGGAAGAAGTCGCCATATGCCGAATCGATGACGAGTATGTCATTCGCGTTCTTCACATGCTTATGCTGTGTGAAAGGATGCCAAATCTTGTCCTCGGTTTCATACGGCATAGATCCCAGACGGCTGAGTCGCTGGTCGTGGCGATGGATCAGCTCCTCGGCGATCGTTCCCACCGTTGTGCTGTCGCTCTCTTTACTGTAGTAATCTTGCATAATTTCCGTCTCTTCCTTGGTGCCTGGTGCAACGCCTTGGAGGTCCGGAATCCATTGTAGTTTGTAAGCTGGTATACCCATATCCATGAAATACTTCTTTAAGTAATCCGCGTTCTCATATTGACTCTTGTCGTCGAAACACACAACAGCATCGATATCATATCCTCGCATGATCAGGGATTCCGCAGCTGATATAGTAGAGGCGATGCCACCTAGCCGATGGTCGCCTACGAGCACCGCCGGAAGTCGTAGTGGTCGGAATATATCCGCCTGTGGGGTGCCGGAAGGCCCTGGGCTCAGAACTCCTCCAGCTGTCTCAATTATCGAAAAGAGTCTGCCCTGATCTAATGCGCTGGCAGCTTTCTGGACGGTCTTGAACACCGTTTGGCTGATGAGCTCATCGCTGGGCTTTGCTAGTCAATCACTGTTGGCAAAAGCAAAACAGTAAAGGTAGAACTCACAATTTTTGCCGAACCTCTTGCCGCAACATGCGGGCTCACAGCTTTGTCGAACTTAAAAAGTGTGGAAACACGCTGGCCAGTGTACTTGTGCACATAGCTAGCGTACAATCAGCCCTTGTGTCCCAAATATCTGTCGGATCACACAACACCACACTGACCTATCGTCAGCTTCATCAGCTGGACCTGTGGATACAGGCTTTACATATTGTACTTTGTACGGCCCGTGGCGTAACGGCGATGCCCTGCTCTTGAGGCTTGCCCTACCGAAATGAGCGCCCAGGAGCGTCGAGAATACTGTTTTGCCAACTCCCGTGTTGGCACCATAGACCTGAACGGCAATCGCATTCTTCCACAACCCTCCTGGCACCTTCGCCATTTCTTTTTGGAGTCCAGGTAGTCGTGAGTTGAGGAAGGTGCTATGGTAGATGGCTGCACCTGCATGCTGTCCAATGCGGAGAGTGCGCTAGTGGTTCCGCGTCCACACCGACGCTAAACATGCAGGTACAAATGTAATGAGTCAAGCCGCATCTCCGACGGCATCGAGGGGTCAGCTTATGCAGTCTTTTAGCTAATGAGTATGTTTTTACTTTTGACAGCTTTCGACGACGCGGATAGCCGCGGCAGACCCCACGCTTCCTTCCCGCTTTCTGCTGATCCTACCACGCCAGCCACTTGGTCAGCTCCACACCATCACTGAAGGTCACGTTATCGTGGGTCAAAGGCGTTTCTACCTATTATCACCTTTCACAGAAAGACATGGGGAGCAAAACGCATTCGACGCCGTTGCAAAACAAATTACAAGAACTACTCGATCGCCGACGGACAAACGCAACACTCCGTAATTTGACCTTACCACTTCAAAATCAGACCGACTTCTCGTCCAACGATTTTCTGTCGCTATCCACTTCGCCACAACTCAAATCGGAGTACCTTCAAGAGCTGCAAAGAATTGATTTGCCATTGGGTAGCGGTGGGTCAAGACTCCTAGATGGCAACTCGACGTACGCCGAACAACTGGAGCAAGAGATAGCCAACTTTCATGGAGCTGCATCTGGACTACTATTTAACAGTGGTTTTGATGCAAACGCGGGCTTCTTTGCGAGTGTACCGCAGCCGGGAGATGTGATAGTCTATGATGAGCTTGTACATGCAAGCGTTCATGATGGCATGAGGTTATCACGAGCGGGGAAGACGATTGCTTTTGAACACAACTCCATATCTGCCCTAAAGAATGTTTTGATAGCAGTTCTTGGTGAGAATAAGGCTGTGCGAGACAAGAGCTGTAATGTGTTTGTGGCATTGGAATCCATCTATAGTATGGACGGGGACGTATGCCCTTTGAAAGAGATGGTGGAGGTCGTAGAAGAAGTCTTGGGCCCTGAACAAGGATACATCGTCATCGACGAGGCCCATTCCACTGGAGTGCTAGGACCAGAGGGGAGGGGTCTGGTATGTGAGTTAGGCCTCGAGAAACGCGTATTCGCACGGCTCCACACATTCGGAAAGGCGGTAGCGGCGAACGGAGGTACGTCTTGTTCAATTCTATCCAAGTTCATGACAGATGCTAAGCTCTTCACAGCAATCATTCTCGGCTCAGACACCTTGCGTCATTACCTCATCAACTACGCACGTCCGCTCATATATACAACGTTCTTGTCCTACCCCTCTCTGGCGCTCATACGATCTTCGTACCGGCTACTTCAGTCTGGCCAGAGCGTTAGACTACAAGCTCATCTACAGCATCTTACCCAGCATCTCTATACTAGGCTCGGTCATCTCCAGAAACACTCAGACTTGGCTTGTCGGACACTCACAATTCCAAGTGCATGCCCCAGATCACCTATATTCGCAGTACAATTAGCAAGACCGAAGGTCCTGGCGAACTTTCTGCAAACTCATGGTATGATGGTCAGAGCTGTGGTGCCGCCAACAGTGCCGGTGGGAACTGCTAGAGTCAGGATCTGCTTACATGCTGGCAACACATCAGTGGAGGTGGAAAAGCTCGTTGAATTGCTGGGAAGATGGTGCGAAAGTCAAGCCGTTGAGCAGTCACAAGGTCATGTACAAGAAGCAGTTGTGCGAGCCAAACTCTAGCTTCAATTGAGAGAACCATACGGCTCAGCATTACAGTGCTTTACTGCGTGGTAACTCCGTGATGATCATTCTACATAGACCACCTCTACCCTCAAGCAAGTGCCTGAACCGTAGCCTCCGCCTCAGCAGCCGCAACAACCGCTTCAGCCTCATCCTGTCCCGGAAGCTTGCGCTGCTCTCCAATTGTCTCCTCCATCTTCATAGGCCTCAATCCCCACCTGCCAAACATAGCCTTATCCTCTTCCCACCCGTTGCAAGCAGTAGTCAACATCTTCTCGCCCGTAAAGACGGCATTAGCGCCCGCCTGGAAACACATAATCTGCTTCTCCTCGCGCATTGTGTGGCGGCCAGCCGCGAGACGGATGATGGTGGTCGGCATGACGAGTCGCGCGGTAGCGATGGTACGGAGGATGGCGTCGAAGGAGATGGCTTGTGTCTCGCCGAGTGGAGTGCCTTTGATCGGTACTAGGGCGTTGACGGGGAAGCTCTCGGGATGGGCTGGTAGTGTTGCGACGGTGTGGATGAGACCGACGTGGTCGCGAGCCTTCTCGCCTAAACCAAGGATACCGCCGGTGCACACATGTATGCCGGCTTCTTGCACGTTCTTGATGGTGGCGAGGCGCTCGTCGTAGGTGCGTGTGGTGATGACACTGGGGTAGTGCTCCCGGCTGGTATCAACGTTGTGGTTGTATGCTGTTAATCCAGCGTCTTTGAGCTCTTTGGCTTGCGCGGCATCAACCATGCCTATTATGTAGGAACATGAAGTCAGTGTATGTCGCACATGCAGTTCGTAAACTTGGTTCTTACCCAAAGTAACACATGCCTCCATGCCCATACCGCGAACCCCTTTTATCATCTCCTTGATGTTCTTGAGATTGGTCTTGCGGCCTCGCATGTCTCTCCAGGCAGCTCCCATGCAGAATCTTGAGCTTCCATTCTCTTTTGCGACCCGTGCAGCTTCCAGGACTGAGTCAACTGAAGACAGTTTTGTAGCCTTCAATCCTGTGTCGTATCGCGATGACTGCGCACAGTAGGAGCAGTCTTCGCTACAGCCTCCAGTCTTGATGTTGAAGAGCGTGCACATCTGGATGGCGGCGGGGTCATGGAAGCGCCGGTGCACCGAAGCCTACAACGGGATTGATGAGACATTGTCCCTCCAAATAGTGATAGAGCTGTGTGACATACCGCTGCATGAGTAAGGTCTATCAGCGAAGTATTGTAGACTTCAGTAATCTCCTCCTTCGTCCAGCTCGTCCTGGGCGCACTTGCATTGAGCGCATTCTCGAAAACGGAGCCTGTCCGCGCTGGTGAGCGTAATTGTTGAGTTCCAGGGTCGACAGGGGTATCGAGAACGGTGCTGAAGGAGCGGGTGATCTGCAGGGAGCGAGGCGCGAGCGACAAGCCCCGGCCTGTTCGAAGAAGCACTCTTTGAGCCATTGCGAAAGGTCAATTGAAGCTCGATACGAGTCGTCGAAATCACGTACAGTCAACAGGTGCCTCAAACTAGCTGCCCGCTCACGGCTTACGGGAGACGGCTCTAGGGCCCCAGGAACGCGTCGGCCTGCGTTTGTAGATCAGCGTGGGACTTCCGCCAATCAGATTCGAGGCGATGACCGCGGGGTTCCGTGGCGTCTTTACATTATCTAACTTCCTTAGACCGAGCGGTCCAGCCAAAAACGCCGAGGTAGTTATATACCTCAATGGCTAGTATCGCTGATGTCGACATCGAGTGGAGAATTTTGAGTTTGTTGATGTTGCAAGGTTGCAATCGTCTCCCCGAGGGCCTACTCCAAACCACACCTCCAACTCCACCTGGGCAGTCTGCTGCATCACCTTCCCAAGACCGTCTGTTTGATATGGTTCAGCGCACTCCCCGCTCTCAGCCACTTCAATTGACCGTTGCTGTAACTATGGTTGAGCGGCGCGATCCACTCTCCTGCATTATTCGCGCGCACCACACGCATGCTAGCCTGCCTTCCCGGCCGTAGCTCGCCGTCTTCAACACCTTGTAGCGTAATGCGATCGCCCAACTGGATACGATCGTAGTCCTGGGGATTCGCAAACGTCAGAGGCAGCATGCCCTGCTTCTTCAGATTGGTCTCGTGTATTCTGGCAAAAGAGCGCGCTATGATCGCGACGCCACCGAGGAAACGCGGTTCTAGCGCTGCATGCTCACGCGATGACCCTTCTCCGTAGTTGAAGTCCCCGACAATACACCAGTTTACACCTTGATCGCGCAAGTCTCGGGCGACTTCATGCACAAGTCCGATTTCGCTGGTTAGCGGGTGGATCGTGTGGCCGAGCAATTTGGAGTCGGAACCTAGGAAGGCGTTCGAAGCTGCGAGAAGCATGTTGTTGCTGATGTTCTCAAGATGACCACGGAATTTGTACCACGGGCCTGCGGGACTAATATGATCGGTCGTGCACTTTCCTTGGACTTTGACGAGAATCGGCATGTCTTTCGTCGAGCCGGGAGACCAGGGTCTGAAGGGCTCAAGTAGTTGCAGACGCTCAGATTGTGGGTCAATGTCGACTGCCACATCGTCGGCGTCATGAACTGGAGCTTGGTAGAAATCTTCGCCCACGACGAACTGCATGGGCAATTCGACATTTGTTGGCGCTGTAAACTGGAACCCTTGCGCTGACCCTTCGATTTGAAGAGAGTCGATGACAGGATTGAAATCCAACCTTCCAGAGTAGGCAAAAGCCGTCACCATCTCTGGAGAAGTCACAAATGAACAGGTCTCTGGGTTTCCGTCGTGCCGACCAACGAAGTTGCGATTGAAACTGGAAACTACCGTGTTTCTCTCGCGGCCTTTAACATCGACGTCTGTACGCTGCCATTGCCCTACGCAAGGGCCACAAGTTGTGCTCAGCACAACAGCACCTGCATCGCGCAATGTTTGCAGTATACCCTCCGACTCTGCAGTCGCGCGTATATCTTCGCTGCCTGGGGAGACCAGGAATGGTGTCTTCACTTTCGGCAGACCAGCAGCCTTGGCCTGGTCGACAAGCTGCGACGTTTTGTATAGGTCTTCGTATGAGCTGTTGGTGCAGCTGCCTACCATGGCATGACTGATTTCAACAGGCCAGTCGTTCTTTGCTACAGCATCCTTCAGTTCTGAAAGAGGATGCGAAAGATCCGGAGTAAAGGGACCGTTGACATGTGGCTCTAGAGAGTCTAGGTCAATTTCGATGACCGTATCATAGTGCTTCTCGGAGCCTTCATCTGCGGTCAGCAGGATATCCTTGTAGCCGTCTGCGAGGCGCGCGACATCCGCACGCTTCGTCGCCGAGAGATATCGATTCATGGCCTCGGAGTAGGGAAAGATACAGGAGGTCGATCCAATTTCAGCTGACATGTTGCAGACAGTCGCCATGGCCGTCGCACCCAACGTCTGCGTACCTGGGCCAAAGAACTCAATCACCTTGCCCTTTCCGCCTGAAACAGACAGTATACCGGCGAGTTTGCAGATGATATCTTTTGTCGAGGCCCATCCATGCAGGCTACCGGTAAGTCGGACACCTACGATCTTTGGGCACATGAGTTCCCAGGGCATACCAGCCATCGCATCGACTGCATCAGAACCCCCAACTCCAATGCCAAGCATTCCCATGCCGCCGGCGTTGGGCGTATGCGAGTCCGTCCCGATGATCAGGCCTCCAGGAAACGCGTAATTCTCGAATATGGTGGTGTGGATGATGCCGGCGCCAGGTTTCCACCAGCCGATTCCATACTTCTTCGCTGCGCTACTAAGAAAGGCATAGACCTCGCGATGCTCTTCTCTTCCACGAACAAGGTCTTCCTCGGCGCCGTCGCGCGATACAATGAGGTGATCGCTGTGCACTGTGGTGGGGATCTGGACTTTCGGGAGGCCTGCGCTGATGAATTGCAGCAATGCCATTGTAGCCGTCGCATCATGACATGCGACTCTATCTGGGCGGAGATGCAACAGCGTTTCTCCACGCCTGATTTCATCTAGAGACCAGTGGTGCTCGTCTGAAGTGTAAAGGTGACTATACAGCACTTTTTCTGTTAGGGTAAGGGGGCGCCGCGAGCCATGTGTAACAGAGCTGAGCTGCAAGACCTGTCGGTCGTAGTCGAGTGGTATGCCTGCATCAAGAGGGCTGATCGACACCCGCGGTGCAAGCGAAGCCAGACTCCTCGCATACAAATTGCTGCGTCGATGTAGAGGGTACCTTGGCGCTGCAAGTTTAGTAGTAAGCATGACTTAACAATGGCTTGGATAGCACAGGAGAAACGACACAAGCCATGTTTGCGATGTTGTGAGAAAAGGCAGATCGGAAACATGCTCCTTATCCGTAGCCGGTCGGCTTTTGAATATAGCGCTAGAATCTCGGGATATCTTTTGAAGCCGAGCAGAACAGTGCCGAGGGAACTATGGACAGTGAGGTACTTGAACAACCACAGACAATAGGGCAAGTGACCGAATGCGAGGGCATGGAGCCTGCACTTCCACACGAAGGACTTGTCGTCGTCTTCAGCATGCATAGTATGTGTGACGGAAGCTGATTGGTCTGCCTTTTCTCGAAGCTGGCGCATGAGCCGAAGTTGGGTATCGGTAGGGACATGAAGCAGATGCGATAGGTCTATTCTACAACGCAAGAGCGTTTCGAATGTGTTCGCGTCGTCGCGTCGCGTTGGTATCGCGTTCCAACGCAGGACCCAGCAGCCCATCCCCTCAACCCTGCAAGCTCTAGAACGCGATGACGTAGCGTCCCGTCCCTCCACCAAACTTCCTTCCACACCTTCACACCCACCCCAGCAACCCCATCGCCAACAATCCCTCCAACCTCACCTCTGAATCAACCATGTTCTCCCCCTCCATCCACACCGTCAGCGTCTTCCAACTCAGCCTCACCTCAGCCCTCAGCGCCTACGGCCTCTACCTCTCTTACCAAAACATAACGCGCCTGCAGCAATACGAAAAGCAGAGCGAGAAGGCTGCAGAATGGTCAAATACCGCGGCGCAGCGATTGCATAAGACGCGGTCGACGCAGACGAGTGGGACTGTTACGGTTTGTTGTCCCCCTTCCTTTCAACCTTGGAAGGGCGGCGTGAGAAGATTTGTTAGCTAACGAGAGGGTTGTAGTTGTTGCTTAGTTTCCTAACCTCCACGGCCCTCCTCATCGTACCAAGTCTTTCGTCGACGCAAGTGCTGGTTGGGGCTGGCGCGGCGAATGCGGCGGCTGCGTACCTCGCGAGGGTACACATGAAGAATTTCTGGAACGATAGGAATCAGACGAAGATTCCGTTTGTTGAGAAGTTCAATGAAGCGATACGGGGTAGTGAGCTCGTCGTCTTGCTACTGGGTACGTTGAGTCTAGGCTGGGCGGCAGCAGGAGGCGTGTGGGCGGGCATGGCGAACGGCGGAAGCGGGATACTGGGACTGGGTGTTTGGGGTCTGGTTGTGGGTGGCAGGGTCATGTCGATTGCGCCGAAGATGGGGTGGACGGGTAGTACTCAAAGCTAGAAAGAAAGGGAAACGAAAGAACGGTCTACTTTGATTTCCATATATACAACGGGTATCTCAGACGAGTGAAAATCACGATTTCACATCTCCCACCTCACTCATCTCGCGCACCAGCCGCACGCTATCCGCTTCTCTAACCCAGTCTTCTATCCTTGCGCCGACATCCCCTACTAGCTTCTCATATGTCTCGTTGATGAAGAAAAGCGAGGTATGTGCTGTCACCTCGTCCATGTTCTCCATGAAGACGCGTATCCATGTAGGGTCTTTGTTGCCATCCGCATCTTTCGGTGGCAGCATGCAGAATTTCTTAAGCTTCTTAGGTTTGGCAGGCGCGCTTTCTTCCGACTCGGTCTTTGGTCGATGGCTATTCTGGCTGTCCATTGTGGAGAGGGTGTAGGAGGAATCGGCGCGGCCGTCTGGTGTGTCTTGCCGCATGATTCCGCTGCGCGAGAATTGGTAGTTGGCGTATGGATGCTGAGGGTTGTCTTGAGCTGGCTCATCGTCTCCCAGTTCAATGGCACCAATGTCCTCTTCCAGGTCAGTGGTAGCACGCTTTGGTTCGGCTTTGTCTTCTGCGGGTATCTTTCCATCGCGCAAGTCTGCTTCTCGTTGCCTTTGCCGCGCTTCTTCCTCCCTTTGCTCTGCCTCTGCTTGTCGCTGTTCTCTTTCTTTCTGCCTTTGCTTGTCCTCTGCTGACATGTTGTTTGCCTCTTCAGCCTTCTTCAGCTCTTCCTTCTCCTGCTCCTTCCTTACTTTCTCCCGCTCTTCGTGCCTCTTCTTCTCCTCTTTCTCTCGGTCCTTCTTCTCTTTCGCTTTTTCCTTTTCCCATTTCTCTTCCATCTTGGTCCGTTCATTGATCGTCTTGTTGCGTGTCTTGACAGCTTTCTGATATACCTTAAGAGCCTGGTCGTGCTCCTTCTCCGCAGCTTTGCGCTGGGCCTTGTCGGAGAATTGCATCAGATCAACAAACGGTGGCTCCTGCGGGATAGGCGGGATCTCTGGTAAGTTTGGAGGACCACTGTCCTCGCGCGCTGATTCCTCGAAAGTTTGAGGTGCTGTAGGGCTGGTAGCCGAGAGGAGGTCTTGAGGGCTGACAGGCACAACACCGTCTTCTCGATGCTCGTGGACTTCAATGGATAGCGGCGGAGAATCTGCCATGGGTTCAGGATGCACGTGTGTCATCTCTGGCTCGGACGATGTGACCGATGAACTTCTCGACCTTTGTTGTTCCTCTATGTGAGCGGGTATATGTTGCGATGGCTCGCTCGATGCACTCATGTTGCTGTCCTGATGCTGTAGTTGCTGACTGGAGGAGCGGGACGGGGATGGTGATTTTGGAGAAGGCGACTTGGGAGATTTCGGCTTCTTGGGTCTCCCGGTGCTTGCAGTGTAGTAGTTGACAAAGCGTACGCGCGGGACTGTGCGCCCTTGGCCAAACCCAGATCTCCTCTGGCTTTCGTCGTCTTCTTCAAGCGCGCGCACCCTTGCGTATCTATTCTTCAATTCCTTGTAGTCGGCCATTGCGCTACCAAACTCGAAATGAGACTTGACGAGACCTTTAGTGGCTTCTTTCAAGCCGTCTTTGTAGTGTTTCGTAAGCCAGTGTAGGCTGTTTTCCCAGCCCTTCCGATTTGGCAGATTCACATCATTTGGGAATGCCGGGTTGTAATTGGGATCCGTAGGCTTTGGGTTGAAGATTGTACTCATTCTACTGGGCCTCTTTCCAACATCGGCGTCTTGCACGATCGCGTCTTGTGGCGTCGGCGGTGAACTGAAGATGCTGCCTAGTCCAGCTTTGATAATTCCAGGATGCATGCCCAGGAACGGAACATCGAAATTCACGATGCCAATGATGCGATGGCGGAAAACTAGCGCGATGTCTGCAGCGAGCAAGCCACCCATGGAATGACCGAGCAAGACAACGTCGGTCCATTGATCCTCGTGTGGAGCTAGCCTGACAGCTGTCAGTCCTGAGCATGTTGATGGGTGAGAGAACCGAACCATCTCGAGAAGTTGTCTCTCGCAATCTCAAGCGAATCCCTGGACTTGTATCTGGGATAGATTTTTGTGTGGACGACATGGGTTTCGGCGAGTGTGATGGTTACAAGATTGTGCACGTGGGCTGGGAAGCTCCTAAAACTTGTTTCGTTGCCCATGAAGCCATGAATGAAAACGAGCATTAGCCGCCGTCGCCCGGTTTCTCCCTGCGAGGGATCTGGAACGAGCGACTGGGTTGAAGAGGAGCGCGGGTCTTGCGACGACATGCCCATGACGGAGTAGGGTGGTGGCGCATCACTTGTTGAAGAGTCCCGAGGAGGAAGAGGTGGTGGGCGTCTTTGGTGCTTTTGGGGGTCCATTGCTTGACTTGTTGGCGACGTCAGGGTTGGGTGTTGGTGCACCTGTTACGACACGGGCGACACGCATGGGAAGAGACACGAATTATATAACCAGTGTCTTGAAAACTGGGAAGTGTTTGCGAGGCTTGGAAGGCGTGCAGTACAGAGGGGCAATGTGGGGTAAAACGCGACAACTCATACGCAGGTGCGATACGAGGGACGGCGTATTCGCTCGCCACTCGCGTATTCACCTATACGCATGCTCAACAAGTAGGTATAACGAATAGACACGCGCTAGAAAGACAAGACCACTGGTTCGACACTTTGCACCGTCAGTTTGCTGAAAATCAACGAGAAAAGACGTGCGCAACGCGATGTAGTAGTCCACAAGCGGCAGGCAGTCGTAGCTGGGCGTGTGGAACCCGATGAGACGCACGCTTTCCTAGCAGAGACAAAGACTTGGACTTAGAAGCAGCAAGGGACGGAACCGCGGAATCTGGCGCGCCGCCGATCACCCCTTTGGTTATATAGTTATATCGACATTCTATATGTTTGTGTTTCGAAATCGCGCTCGTGTCAGAGGATATTTGAAGTTCCGTGAATCCGTGTTAAGGTGCATGACTCGTGCGTATAGAGCTGATCGCTGAGGCCTTGTCGTTTAGGTTTGCTAAGGTCTGTGAAGCTATATGACGAATAGTCATGCACCGCAGAGTGGCACATCTCACAAGTCATGGAGGAATGAGGCATGCTGAAGGGCAGGTCTGGATCAGGAGGGCAATGTCATACGGCGTGGATGGCCTCGCTCTTTGTTCGGCGTGGTTCATGCGCTGTTGTTTGTTGACGCGATAGGCCAGGGGCTCCAGACAAACATACTAGACAGTGGCGCGTTCCAGAGAGGAAGCTCGTGATGTTGGTGGTGAACTATGAAGGCCACCCTAGCGAACAATGAACACTACTCGGGCTTGGCAATACGCCAGCCAGCAGACACGGGCCGGCGGTGGTGGAAAGGGCACGACGGCAGATTGCAGCAAGCGAGTCCCCCAAGGCGACGAGCACGAGTCGGCGATGCTTGTGCGACAATAGCAATGGCAGGTGCGACAACCCAAGGGCGGCAACTAAGAATAACACCTCGACAGACTTTGCAGTGGGCCATGGCCCTGCATACTCCGTTCCAGAATGCGGTACCTGAAAGGCCGTCGCTGGATGGTGTGGCGCCACTGCAGGTGCAAGCGGGACGGCTAGTTAGCAGCCCCTTTGGACCATGGTACGCCAATTCTCCGAAGTTGTACTGCCGAAGAGTGAAGCTCGACGACGCGCGACGGGTGGGCGAGGACGAGATTAAGCAAGAGATTGCCGTCGTCACCAGTCGTCATGGCAGCGAAGATCGCGTCGCTGCTTCGTGCGTGTGGTGATATCGTATGCCGGTGGGGCCTGCTATTCCTGGACATATCATCTCGGTTGCGGGCCAATCAGTCCCACAGGGCCCGTGCCAACGGCCGACGGACCCCAAACGGTTTCTCGTCTCCTCGCTGCATCTGGCTGGGCTGGAGCGTCGGCGTGCGCTGTGAAAGTGTCTGTGTCTGCTCCCTGTGTCCCGATCGCTCTTTCCCACGACGCTTCCGCCGCGACGTCGACAATTCCACGGACCCAGCGCTACCACGGCCAAGGGACCCTCAGGAAGAAGCTGTTGGAGCCGCCGTCGCGCGACACCCACACCACGTCTGGCCCACCCCGTTGCACGATACACGACGCTAGAAATTGCGTCCGCCGCCCGTTCCCCATAACCTCCCCGTCCGCCCCCTCAACCGCGCGACCGTCGCGAAGCAAATGCTGGCCTATTGATCGCCTTCACGTAGGTACCCTCTGCATTCATCCTCCTGACATGTGAGTGCTGATCGTTGCCGCCTCCAGACCATCCCTCAGTCAGTCACCTGGCGTCCACTCTTTTGCCGACATTCACTCGCTCCCACCCAAACCCACTCCATTGACTGGACTCCCTGCATCGGCTGAAGCCCGTACGTCCGCTCATTCTCAACACCGTCCCTACAACACATGTACCGCCAAACCGCGCACCTCGCCACCGATACTCTGGAAGCATCGCCCTAGTCCGTATTGCCTGGACCCGTCTCTAGACCTTTATGGACCCCGTTGCAACACCTCCCAGGATATCCAGAGTCGACTCGCGCTACCGTCACCGCGCGCAAAACGTCCCGCCCCAGAGCGAACCTGTGCCGCAGTCTGAAGAGAAAGAGGAGGAATCAAGCCAGGAGGACTTTATCCCTGAACTGAGAGCCCGAGACAGCATGAGCAGAGGCCATCGCTTCTTTCACCGTCGTGCTGCGCTAGGCAACACGAAGGTAGTCACTGTCGCCGTCGAAGTAGTCGGGACCGTCGATACCAGCGGAAGTTTCATCGCCCAAGAGACTATGGCGCCCGTCACACCTCAGTCCCCAGATGCACCTGCACTACCGACTGCTGCAGCAGTCGCAGCGCCTTCACCCGCACCAGCGCCCTCGGTAGCTCCCGCGGCGCAGCAACCACTGCCCTCCGCTCCCTCACCCGGTGTTCCAGCAGTACCAGCGGTACCTACAGTTGCGGCTCCTGTGCTTCCATCCGTCCCAGCAGTCCCACCTTTTCCAAGTGACCTCGTGGTTCCAACCGTTCCTGCGTACCCATATTCTACAGGCGGCCAAGTTCCGGCCACCTCCGACTTGAGCGCATCTCCAATTCCAACTGGTAGCCCCATAAGCATTGCGACTCCATCTGCAGCCCCTGTGCCTCTATCAGATGTTAGTTTTATCTTGAACTCGACCGCATCTAGTAAGCCAGACGATACTGCCAACATGATCAAGTCTAACATTTCCAGGCACTGCTTCCTTGTTCTCATCTTCTTCATTCGTCTCTCTTGACAGCATCTCGGCGTCAACTGCGACTGACTTGATTGCGACCATCGCAGACGCTCCGACTCGCTCGACATCTTCATCGGCATCGCAATTCACATCCTCGTCCGACGCAGCGTCATCTTCTCAAACTTCAGCAGAATCTGCTTTCACGAGCGGTGCCGTCATCTCCTCGGATGCTGCGTCAACAACAGCATACTATGGTGGTGCCGGTGGGGACGCGTCTGGAACGGCGGCTGCCCCTGCTGCCACCACAGCAGGCATCTCAGATGCTGATGCCGACACCGCTCCTTCTCCACTTGAAACCCCACAGGTCGTCGGAAGTGTAGTGGGCAGTCTGGCAGGCGCTGCGCTCATTCTCGCTATAATACTGCTGCTGCTTAGACGTCACAAGCGGAAGCAGGGCGGTGCTTTACAACTCACTGGCGACGATCACACCGATAACAACCAGTCGATGAGGCAAGCACCCACCACAGCTACTACTTTGGCTCCTATCGCCTTCCTGAACCGTTTCTCTGGTTTGTCAGGCAAGACTGCGGAAACCAATCTCAGTGGTGGTGAACGCAGCTTTCAACGGGTGTCAGGGCGCAAGCTTCCTTCCGCCTTCAGCGAGGGCATGACATCAGATCAGTTCTCTCGTGGCGGCACAATGTCTGGATCTTCTTTCTACCAAGATGAACACGGCACATATGGCGGTCCCGGCATGTCAAAAGAGTTTGGCAAGGAGATCGGTGACAGCCCAGCGAACCGAGAGTCAGGACCCATGAACATTCGACCCAGCCCAGCCAGGACACCAGTCATACGGCATCCTGATGAAGGCAATCCCTTCTCGGACCGCCACTATCTCAGTCCGCCACAATCTCCAAATCCCGATGCCCCACCAAGAGGCACTCTTGGTAGAAGTCTGCCTTCGGCGGATGGATCCAGGTCATCTCGGTTTACAGAGAACGTTTGAACGATCTACTAGTCTTTATTGCCTTCTTACTCTCGCTCCAGCATCTGTTTTGCCTAACGACACGCATGAACGTGCGTATTGCTCACCTCGCATTGTACCCACCATCTCGCATCTCTTGTCGGTCTTGTCTTGTATACCCCAGGATCCGCTCGACAGGTTCCACTACTCACCACATACTGTCCTTAATCCGGCCGCAATCTGGCGGCCCAGAACTAATGTCTTGTCGGCTTCCTTTACTGTTTGTTGTTATACTATAGTCGTTTTCAGTTCCATTCTTCACGATACTGCCGGATCGGGAACGGTGCCTAGTTTCATACCCCCCCTGGTTGTTGCTCTCCAAGGGAGAAATCCCTGGGTCTAGACCATTTGTTTATATCGGCTCTGTGGTCCGTGTATATATTCTACGCTGTGCTTCGTTGAAAGCCAGCCTCGTGCATATGGTCGCCATGTTTGTCATGTATGTTGGGGCGCGAGGGCAATTCGGACTAGAGGTCTCGACTATAGGGTTGGCGGAGTTCATAGTGGTCTCTCCCAATGCTCAAAAGTTTGGTCTTGCAAATTGCAGTCTGACCTGCGTGCACCTCATTGATCCAGTGATGCATCGGGTAAGTATGCATGCTGCTTACCACGTTTCTATTTCTAGCACAAGACACAATACTAGCACACATATGGCTGCTGTATTTCCTGTCCTGGTCAGCGCAGCATGCATTACCGTTTCCTTAACACGGTCCATGTCATGTTCATCACCTCCGTGGTCTTTTGATAGGGTACTTGGCATCCTCATGACATCGTTCTCGGTTGGCCGGCCGCAGCTCAGCCCCACCCGTGCTTGCCTAACCGTAAGCACCGCCCCAAGATCGACGGTAGTACCGCCTAGCGTCACGTAAGGCTTCCCAGATAGATGTGATTAAATGCCAATGCCGACTCCAGACTCATACCTATTGCTCTTATTATCTGACTTCCAGCACCGGAACGTCACTTTGACCTACCCGTGGACATTACCTACCATTCGCGCACCTATCCCTAACACCTGACGACAAGCAACAGCAACAGCACCCCCAACCCCAACATCACCACCACCAGCCTTCCTTCCCCCCAACAACCACCCACCCACCCCCACAACCATGGCCCTCGCCCCCGCCCCCCAGCCCATCGGCGTATTCCCTCAATTCTTCGCCGCCGGCCCCGAAACGCTCGTCCTAAAAGAAAAAGTCATGTCCCTCAGCGGCGACAGCTTCAGCATCAAACTCGCAAACGGCACGCCGGTGCTCAAAGTCGAAGGCAAAGTCATGAGCCTGACGGGGCGCAAGAAGATGTTCGATATGCAGGGTAACCACCTGTGCAGCATTGTTAAAGAGCATTTTCATATTCACTCGACGTATGTGGTGGAGAGTGCGGGGGGTGAGAAGATTATGGAGGTGAAGAGTAGTTTTAAATGTGAGTTTTTGGAGTGTTTGGGGAGAGGGAGGGAGAGGGGAGGGAGAGGGGAGAGGGGAGATGGGGGAGGTTTGGTATTTGATGCAAGAATGTTGTTGGCTGACGATGAGATACAGTATTTGGAAGCAAAGCAACAGCAACATTCACGTCGCAAAACGGCAAGCAGGAAAGCCTCACTATGAAAGGCGACTTTTTCGATACTCAGGCTGATATCCTAGATGAGGCGCAAGGAGGTACGTATCTCCCCCTCCCCTCCCTTCCCTCCCCCCAGACTAACCCCCCCTCCCCTCAGGCCTCGTCGTCGCCCGCATCGACCGCAAGCTCCTCAGCGGCAAAGACATATTCTTCGGGCAGCAGACCTACGGCGTGCAAATCGCGCCTGGGGTCGACATGGCGCTCATCGCCGCACTGTGCATCTGCCTCGACGAGAAGAACAACGAGGGGTCATAGAATAACTCGAAGAGGAAACAAGTGCCGTATGTGTTTTCTTTGGCGAATAAGGCGACGAAGGGGAGGAGTGGGACGTGGATGGAGAGGGCGACTAAGGGGAGGAGTGGGGCTTGGTGGGAGAGGGTTGAGGGGGTGGGGATGAGGAGGGGGACTTGGTGATGGGGAGGGGAGGTGTGGTGTGGTAATTGTTGTGTATACCCTTTGCGTGGAATATTGATGGTTCTTTCTAGTCTATGAAATTGTTTCGTGGGGTTAATCTGTCTGGTGATAAGAGAGGGTTGTCGAAAGTTGATCTCTTCACGCGTCTCCGTGGGAGGATGACAGTGCTTGAATCACGGATAACTCGGTTGCAAATATCATAGGGCATCGCCAGACCATACATGGTCTAACCACTGCGACTCAGCGACACGACTGATAACTCACATTCACGACAGGAGAACGAAGAGTGAAGTATATAATCTTGATATTAAAGGAGCGTCTTTAGTTGCTTATCACTCACTCATCTCCATCCCAGCATCTATACACAACAACAACACCTATAACTTCCCCCAGAAAAACCCCACAAAACAACAACAAAGGAGAGATCTAATAAGCCGAAGTACAGCAGCAATCGGGAAAAAAACATGGCTTAAGTGACCACGTCCCGCAAAATATATGCTAGTAATGCAGTCTAACACGAAGGCAAGACGGAGAAAGCAACAACAGAATATAGAGAGAAAAGGATGGGAATAAACTCAGAGGCTACGCATGAAGAAGATGACGGAGAACGCCTGCCCGATGTAATGCTATGCTTGACTTGGGGAAAAATTTATCAACACCTTCTTCTGCAACAAAACTTTTGGCCGGCCTGGTTGTATATGCTCACGTCTGCAATCCGTTCCTTGTCCCGATCTTTTCGCGGAAGGGGGTATATATGTCACTTGGCTTGACAATGGCGGGGCGCGGGGTGCGGGAAGGGCCGGCTGCGAGGGTACTGCAGCAAGGTCGATGACGACCAAAGAATTAAGGACACTGTCTGAACCGTGTATTGGGCGATCCAGCTAACCATGTTCGATTACTTCGATCCAGCGAGCAATTCAGATCCGGGTACATTGTGGCCGAAGTCTAAGATCAAAGTCCTGCCATCCTGGCTTGTAGCAACAACGCGTCTGTAGTCACTCTTGGCTGAGAGAATCCAGCTCGTTGTCCAGTTCTTGTAAACAGCATATGTTTGCCCAGTCTCATAATCCGAAACTTGTATACTCTGGTCGTACGAGCCAGACACGATGCGACCGTTGAAGGCGTCGAGGAACAGGGATCGTACAAGACCGTCGTGCTTAACTCTGCTGTGGACCAGCTCGCCGGTTGAAGCATCAAACTTGTACACGACGTGGTCATTACCACCGGCGAGAACGTATTTTGCATCATCGGAAAATTCAACAGCGGCGAGACCACGGTCTTCGGACGGGAAGTCTTTGATTGAAACACCAGTCTCAAGGTTCCAGAGCTTAGCAACACCGTCGCCACTAGCGGAAACGAGGAAGTTGCCGCGTAGCTGAACGGCGTTGACGGGGCCTCTGTGACCCTTGAGTGTGCGGACGCAGTTGCCAGTCTTACGGTCCCAGACCTTGATCATGGCGTCCTTGGAGCAGGAGATGATGTACTTGTCATCGAGGCAGACGTCTAGGACACCAGCCTCATGGCCGCGGAGTCGGTACATGGGAACGTACTCATCGCCGGTGATGTCCCATACGATGCAGGTGTAGTCCGAGGATCCTGTTACCATGATCTCGCTATCGTACTGTAAGCAGAGAATGGAAGCGTCGTGGTAATCGGCAGGGACGGTGTATATCTCGTTGCCAACCTTGGTGCCGTTGAGCGAAGCGTGGCTGATGACTCGTTCCGGTCGCTCCTCCATGGGTGGGGGAGTGTTGGCTGTTGGCCGATGGTTGGGCCCACCGTAGACCCTGATGCACTTGTAAGTTTTCAGGTCCCACACGCGGATAGTCCTGTCTCGGGAGCCGGTGATGGCCTTGTTCTCGTCAAACTGGCAGCAGTAGACGCTATCTGTGTGACCATTCAGGTAAATGGCAGCGGGTGTGCCGGTCTTCCATCGCCCGTCGATTGTGCTCCGCGCCCTGAACATCTGCTTCCAGTCCTGGGCTGGTGCCGGGTTGCCGCCTGCCATCTTGCCAGTGCCCAAGCCGCCCATCTGGATAGGCGCAGGGGAGACGTGTACTTCGGGTTCGTGTTTGCGGAGGAAGACGTTCCGCCAGACGTGCGGTGACGAGGCGTGTTCGTTCCAGCTGCGCGAGACGCGCTCGGCCCGTACGAGAGAAGCGGCATCGAGGTTTGACAGAACGGTGGTGGCGAGCTCGGCAGGAAGGCGTTGGAAGGGATCGACTGTGACACTGTTAGCGTGGCCCCAATGACTGGTGTTTGTCAACTCACTCATCTTCTTCTCCGTGACACTGTCGGCGCGGACAATGGGAGAAGCACATGTCATGTCCACACCGCTCTCGTTGTCCTTGATGTCGTCATCACGCATGGAGGTGGTGATGAGGCCATTGAGAAAGCGGTGGGTGTGTTCCTGCTCGCGGCGTAGCTGGTTCTGGCGATCCTGGTTTGCGGCAGCTGCTGCTTGTCGGGCGGCGGCGCCTGGTACGGACTGGCTGGGGTAGGAGACGGCGGGCGTGAAAAGGGTTTTGGTGATGTCTGTCGAGGGCCCCGAAGCTGTGGGGCGGCGTCGCATGCTACTCAGGCGCTTGAAGGGAGCAAAAGCCTTTGAGCTTGTGCTTTGCGGTTGCAGTTGAAAAGTGGGAATGCCAGAGTCTTGGTGTTGCAGGGGCATTCGCTGTTGATCCATGGTAGATTTCTGGCTAGTGCTCGAAGAGGGCAACGACTCGAATAAGGAATGAATGGAGCCGCGGCGACGCTGTGCAGGTGTGGCGGACGACACGGACGACATGCGCCGGCGCGTCTTTTGGCGGGTGAAACTACCAGCGACTGCACCAAACGCGCGGGAGAAGGAGCTGGCCTGTGAATGCTGCGACAGGCCGTCGGCGTGCATGGTGGCTTCGTTGACGGCGTCCAACATGTTGGTGTCCTTGACGTCGTGTTGGTAGTGGGTAGGG